CAGGCCCAGACACTGCACACGCAACGAAGGAGCCCCGCCTCAGAGGCAGGTCAGTGTTCCTTCAACCCGTGAGCCCGTGAGGCAAAGGGCGCCTCGGACCTTGCTCCTGCCTCCACCTCTGGCTCTGCTCAGCCACGCTGGACACCCCCTTCGTGAGGTGACCAGTACCCCTCCCCGGCCCAGCTCCCTCCAGCTTCCCCAGGGCGGCCCATCCACGCGAGGAACCCGGACTCACTCTCTCCGCAGCAAACATGGCGTCGCTCTCCTTGAACTCTGGGAAGACGTGCCCTGGGAAGAGCAGGCTGCAGTGGCTTCCGGGCCGCGCGGGGGTGCAAGGCCCCCACAGCCACACCCGACCCCACCCATCTGGCCTGACACCTTTGGGTCTCAGCACCTGTCCTGCCCCTGCAGACCTCCAGCCGTCACAGCAGGCAGGCCGCCCCTCACCCAGGTGGCTCCCCACGGGCTGCTGGCCCTGGGTCGCAGTGGGGCCAGGCCTTGGTGCTACCATGCCAAGGCTGCACAGGTCTCCCCCAGGTCTCCTGTCCAGCTCCTGGCCAAGTGCTCTCAGAGTCGGGGTCCCCAAAGTCTTATGCAGGCACAGACCCCTGGGGAACCCTACACATCTCGGACACTCTTTCCTGGGAGAGCAAACGTGAGCCTGCAACCGGTCCCGTGTCCACTGACCAGGGTTTGAGGGCCATGGACGTGGGTGGGGCCCTTGTCACACCTCCCCTCCTGCCCACCCCACAGCCAGCAGACACGGCCCTGCTCCCACTGTGCTCACGGGCTGACCCCAGGTGCTGGCTACTCTGGGGTGCCTACCCCACAAGCCCCATCTCCACTTAATGAGGTGCCGGCCCCCAGCCCAGTCCTGCCTGCTGCAGGTGGTGCCCCAGGCCCAACTCACCCTCCACCTTCATGATCTGGTAGGTGTCCTGGACCACCTTGTACTTGGGCTCGTTCCGGAAGGCGTGTGCCCAGGCCTGGATCAGGTGCAGGACCTTGTTCCGGACGCTGGCCTCCACCTGCCTCTGCAGTGGGGAGGGGAGCTGTGAGCAGCCTCAGGGGCAGCAGGTGCCAGGGCTTCTCAGCCTGACCAGTGGGTGGAGAGACACCGCTGCTCGGGGCGGAAGTGAGGTGTGTCCCCCGGGCAGGGCCACGGGCCGCCTACCACTCTCCCCAGGCCCAGCCCTCCCCCAGCCCTGAGCTGGGGCCTCCCTGTAAAGCCCCAGGAGAAGCCAGGGCCCCTGAGGCAAAAGCTCTCCAAGCCACGATCCGGGCACAGCCGGCATCTCTCCCTGTCCACCGGGGAGCCCCTCGGTCTGCACCCACTCTGGCCCTGCTTGACACCGGCCCCCTGGGGCCAGTCACAGCCACTCTGGGGACGTCCCCACATACAGAGCTGCCATTTCCACCAGCTTGGAGCACAGTCAGTCACCCTCGGAGAGCCTTCAGGGTGCCCTCCGCAAGCGACAGGCGGGAGGACGGAGGGACGGGGAAGCTGCTTCACAGAGACACCAGCCACTGCTCAGCACAGGGCTTCCGAGTCTTCCCTGCAACCTGCGCCCGGTCAGCGGGCTCCTCCCGTCTTGAGGGGGCCGAGCGCCAGGGACTGTGTGGGGCGATGAGACCGCCTGCCCGTGCAGGAGGAAGGCAGCTTCTAACCCTCCCGCTTTTCCTGACGGGCCAGAGCAGGGCTGGCCAAGGTCCCTCGGAGCCACTGGCTGTCAGCTCAGGTCCCACATGGGCTCTTGGCCCCGTGTGCCCACAGGCGACAGGACCAGGACACTGTGGCCTGGCCCACTGGAGGCAGCGAGACGGTGCCCGGGGCTTCACCGCTCCGGGGCCACCCAGGCAGCCTCACGTCCAGGGGGTGCCCTTTCTCCTCGGAGAATGGCTGCTCCACCCAGCGCTGCATCACACGACCCCAGTGTCACCGCCCACATCACAATCCCTGCAGGGGGCAGAGCAAGCCTAGGAGGTCACAGGCAGGTGCCACTCAGGACAATGTCTTGGGCTCGGAAGAATTTTTGCTCTTCAGCCTAAGAAGGGCATGAAGCCCAATCCCCAGCACCTCCCCAGCTCCCCCTCCGTAAACATGTCGGGCTTCCGTGCCTACCACCCAGAACCTTCCTGCCGACCTCGCCCGCCCAGCTGCCCCTGGAACTCCCCAGGGCTCTGCTCACACACAGGGCTCCTTCTGCTACCTTCTCCGTCACTCAGAGAGTGTGCCCAGCCCTTCAAGGCTCTGCTCCCAGCCCCGTGCCTGGGAAGCCTTCCTACGCCCTGGAGGACGAGAGGGGCTCCTGCACTCAGATGTCACCAGGCTGGGGTTGGCATGGCACAGGGACTGCCAGCACTCAGTTCTGGCCTCTGCCACCCCTGGCACCATGCCTGGCACCGCGTTCCTGCCACAGGTGCCAGCGAAGACCTAGGACAGCAAAGGCCTGGTGGCGGTGGCACCTTCCTCCCTCTGGATCCACGGCTCCCGGTGGCGCACGCACCTTCAGCAGCTCCTTCAGCTCCTCCATGGTCTGCTTGTTGGCCACCTCGTCGTGGACCGTCTGGCCACAGTTCTTCACCACGGACTCCATGACCTGCAGATGCCAAGGTTGGGGAGGGGTGGGCTGCTGGTCAGGGCAGGGACACCCCTCTGGACCCCACGGCAGCCTGAGGCAGGCAGCTGCCAGCACTGCCCAGGCTCCTCCTGACTCCACCTGTCGTCACCGAGGACAGAGACCAGAGTCACGCTCCCACCTAAAGTGGCAATCTCAGGGGGAGCCTCGGAGGCCCAGCTCCCACCCTGGCTCTGTCAGGGCCGCTCACGTCCCCGCTCACGCTCGGTGCCCACACTGCTGGCTGTGTGCAGGTGAGTGGGTGAGGTTGCGGACCGCTGGGGAGGGGGCCCTTGAGAGGGTGGGGGTGCAGGGCTCTAGTCACCTCCAGGGCGTACAAGGCCACGTGGGGGTTCTTGTCGTTGACCTTCTTCTTGATGGAACTCACGGCGTACTTTGCCCTGAAAGGAAAGGGTGTTGGCAGGAGCAGAGACAGGAAAAAAGAAAACAGTCTCAGGAACCAAGATGAGGCCCAGCGGCCATCTGACCCCAAGCTGCACAGAGCGCTCCCTTGGTCGGTCCCCAGCTCCAAGAACCCCAGCTTGCAGACCACACAGCTGTCCCAGGCCCCCAAGGGTCACTGGGCACAAGTGTCCCCCTCACTTACTGCGTGTCCCCCTGGCGGATCAGGTCGCAGATCTGCAGGATGGACTCCCAGTCGGTCTCCAGCAGAAGCTGGCTGGTCGCTTTGTCTAAAGCAGAAACGTGTCATTGTGGGGGCTCCCCCTGCTGATTCCACAGGGGGCCCCCTGCTTAGCGACAGAAGGAGGGATCGCCTCCTTCCCATTTTAAACGTTTGGACTCAGGGGACGCCCAGGGAAGACCCTCCTGATGCAGCAGGAACCACCTGACCCAACAGGAGAACAAAGTGGGAGCAGCTACAGCGAGAGTCCAGAACCCGTGCCCACCAGGTGCTCCCACACGCCCTCTGGGAACTTGCCCCTCACATGGCCTTAGGCCTTACTGGCCAAGGCTGTTTCCCAGCTCATCCCCTGCAGGTCACTGCCCCGAGCCACACAGCTTGCTGGGGACGCCAGAATTCCAAGCTGTGCTGGCTGCTCCTTGACAGAATCTGCCACCTCGTCCCTCGGAGGCCCTGCTTTTCACAAGTTTGGCCCAACTGGTGCAATTTCCTCTGGGACGAGGCTTCTGAAATGCAACATGGGCCCCTGTCCTCTGTCTCAAGTGTCCTGTATGGCCACACAGGGCTGACCTCCCGACATCTGGCTCTCCCTCATGGCTGCCTCAGACGGACGGGCCGGAGGCCCCAGCCCTGCTGGTGCAGACCTCCCTACACACTACGGATAACCTCGGAGGCCAGTGTGCCGCCAGCGATGGCCTGGATGTGACTTCTGGATCCACCCCAGAAAAGCTGAATCACCCCTCATGGTTGAGTCCCTCGGCCCACACCTCCCAAGAGCAAGAACCACGTCGCATCTGAAGTCTCCTCCCAAGACACACTCAAGGAAAAACAAGGGTGGCCTGGAGTAGCCAGAGCGTCTGTCCCAGACGACTCCCGCTGCTTCCCTGGAGGTAGGGGCACCTGCCCAGAAATATCCCTTTTCTTTCCTAAAATCTGTGACTCCCAGGAGGCTCAGAAAGGATCACCCGTAGACTCTGACAGATGGAGGAAACGCCTTCCTGAACCACCGGGCGCTTCCCCAAGCAGGTGAAGCGTTGGTCTGGTCCTCAGAAAAGCGGTCCTCAAAAGCGTGTGACAGGTCCCACGGAGATGTCACAAGCCCCAAACCCCAGGCAACCTAGGCGGGTTTTTTTTTTTTTTGGGGGGGGGGTGGCGGTCTTCAAGAGGTTTTACTATTCGATCGAGTTACCCATCTTCGTGACTCAGGACTTTGGGTCAGCTAGGGCAGACGCCCGTGGTCGGTTCCCGGGGACCTGCGGGCTCCAGGCCCGGCTCATCAGTAAACCCTCACCCGCCCCGGCCAGCGCCCGTGCCCCGCACTGCCGAGACCCGCTCGCGGCGCGCCCACCCAGGGCCCACGCCACGCGGCGGACATTCCGCTGCGCTCCGGGATCGCGGGTCAGCCGCGAGGGGAGGGGGCTGCGTTACCTAGGAGACGCTCGAAGGTACCGCTGCCGCGCCCCATGGCGACCCCAGCCGGACCCCGACGCCGCGGCCTCCTTCTCTGCGAGGCGGCGCGCCCCCGACTTCCGCTTCCGCCTTCCCCCACGGTCACGCGCACGCCCGGGCCAACTTGGAGCCGCAGGGAGGTGGCTTTCAGCTCGCTTCAGACGCTGTGCGCCGATTGGGCCTCGCCTGCTGACAGGTGAGCATCAAAGACCAATGAGCATCTCATGGGCCAGTCCTATCCAATGAGAGCGGGGTGGAGGGCGGGTCTTGAGTCTCGCAGGGCGGAGCTACGGGTGCTGAGCGGTGCTGGACTTTGGGATGTGTCTGCTTTTGGGGGCTACCGGCGTGGGGAAGTCGCTGTTGGTGAAAAGACTGCAGACTATCCTTTAGCGCCGGGCGAGGGGGACTGGAGAGATGGGGGGCACCTGGGGGTGGAAGGCCGGGGTGCGGTTTTTGGGAACGCCTGGGGTGAACGGGTTGAGGGGAGGCAGGATGCTTCTGGGCCGGTCGGGGGCGGGGTCGCCTTGGGGGCTGTAGAAGGAACCTGTGGGGATCCCGGGAGACCCGGGGCGGGATCTGGGCGCCAGCCGCCCTCTGCTCGGCTTGGGGTCCTTGACCGCCGCGCACAGCTGAGCTCTCAGGATGGGAAGGGTGACCTGGGCGATCCTCCCCCTACGCGGCCCACGGTAGGCGTCCCCCTTCCGCGGGTTAGAAGGAAGCGGTACCTTTTTCTGTTTGCAAAGTGGCTTGAGTTGTTAAGCCGGAAGTGGAATCCAGCTGGCCGATGCGTTAGATAAAACCCAGGGGAAGCGAGTTGGGTGTCACGGGAAGGAGCTGGTCCCTCTGGGACGCAGCTGCGGTGGAGGTGGGTGCATGGCAGGGGATCCGAGCCCCGCTTCACACACGGTTTAGATCCCTGTCCCTGGTCGCCCCACACGTAAATCCTACTGGCGGGCGTTGATTCTCTGCCACAGCCAGCCAGGAAAGGTAGGGTCCAGAACTTCTGGAAGTCCCGCTTCGTTTTAGATTCTGCTTTGGGGCCTAAGACCTTGAGGATGGGCCTGTTGGGGGTTAGGCCACAGTGGAAAGGGCACGTTGCTCTTCAGGAGTCCTAATGGCAAAGCTCGTGGTGGTCTCCACCTCATATGTTTCCCCACAGGTGGGCACCGACCTCACTGACCTCATGGCCCCCAGAAAGATCACCATCCGAGAGCTGGGCGGGTGCATGGGCCCCATCTGGCCTAGTTACTATGGAAACTGCCGTTCTCTCCTGGTGAGTTACCCTCTTCCAACTCTTTTAGGGAATCTTGTCTCAAGTCGGTATTGTCTAGTCCCCAGCCTCACTGTGTATAGGGTGGAATTTGGGTTTCTGGGCGACTGCAAGTCAAGGGGACAGGGCCCCTGCTGCCCCATCTTTCTGGGGACTCAGCCTGGTCAGGAGCTCGCGGGCGGCTCTCGGAGGGCATGGTGACTGTGGGTCCCTGACTGGTGCCCACCCTCTCCCATTTGGCTGGGGTGTGTTTCTGTTTGTACTTGAACCCTACCTCTCCGGGTTTGTCCCATCCTGGCAAGGCCCTTCCTGGGAGAACCCAGGGCTGTGTGAGGAGAGTCTTCTGTGTGGGCAGCGACAGGCGACACCTGGTGGCTCCTGCACACCTCGTTTCCTCCCACCTCTGCTAGTGCCCGGGGTCCTTTGTTTTGGGCCCTTTCGCTCCCCGAGCCAGGTCTGTGACACCCCGGGAGGAGGTTTGTGAGGGCTGCCTCCATTGGGGCGGCCCTAAACTTCCTTCCCTCTTCCCAGTTTGTAGTGGACGCCGCCAACCCCACCCAGCTCTCTGCGTCCTGCGTGCAGCTCCTGGGCCTCCTGTCTGCAGAGCCCCTTGCAAGGGCAGCGGTCCTGGTGGTCTTCAACAAGATGTACGGGGCCACCAGCAGAGGGGGTGCAGAAGTGCCCACAGATCAGCTCCTTGGAGTGTAGCCAGGAGGGAGGCTCCTTGGGGAGGGGGCAGTGGGTGGGAGTGGGCCTGTGGGGCCCACTTTGACAAGGTGCCCCTTTTGCCCAGCGACCTGCCCTGTTACATGACCGTGGAGGAGATGAAGTCGTTAATCAGGCTCCCAGACATCATTGCTTGTGCCAAGCAGAACATCACTGTGGCAGAGGTCAGTGCCCGAACTGGCACTGGCTTGACAGGGGTGCTGCGCTGGCTCCAGGACACCCACAGAACCAGCAGGTGACCACCAGGTGGAGAGTGGCCGGACAGCTCCGTGCAGAGGAGGCAGAGGACGGCCATGCTTGGCCTCCGAGGTCTGTTCTCAGGAAGACAGCTGACCCAGCAAAAGCCAAGACGGCGGGCTGCTGTGCTGAGCTGTGGGTACGGGTAAACTGAGGCACCCAGGTTACAAACACTGCTGACAGCTGACGCTGGAAGGCAGACTGTCCAGGGCTGGGGGAGCGGGACCGCCCACCAGAGCTCTGGCCCTCTGAGCACCCGGAGGAGGCTGGAGGATGGGGGAGGCTCCAGTGGAGCACAGGTGCTGGCAGGCTCGTGCTGGGCTCTCTGGGCCCGGGTCCCGCTCAGTGTCCCTTCCACTTTGGCTGAGGGAACCGGCAGGACAACTGCTGATGGGTGGGTATGTCCCAGGGCACCCATAACAAATGACCTCAAACTGACTTAAAACAACCTAAGTTTCTGATCACGGCTCTGGAGGCCAGAAGTCTGAGATCGAGGTATTGTAACCAGGGTATGAGCAGGGTTGGGCCCTGCTCCTGGAGGCCCCGAGGGGGTCCTGTCCCTGGTCTGTCTCCCAGCTCCGACTGGCAGTGGTAATTTGGGGGGGGTCCTTGGCCCAGGGCTGGTTGAGCATGCATCTCTGCCTCTGTCTTCACATGGCCTTCTCTTGGGGACATCTGTCATTGGACTTGGGCCTGCCCCAAATCCTGGGTGCCCTTGAGGCCCGTATTACATTGGCAAAGACTGTTTCCAAAAACAGCCACATTTATACGTTATGCTGGTTACAGCTTGGACGGATCTTTTAGGGACCACTATCCACCTGCTCTGTTGGGCCAGGAACGCATTGCCTGAGTGGTCGGCGGCGTCAGGCCTCGCGGTGCTCCTGGCCCTTTGCCGTGCACAGCCTGCGCTGCAGCTGGGCGCCCCGTGACTCGCCCCAGGAGGTTGCTCCTGCTTTCACTGCTGAGCAGCTGTCCTCGTGGAGGACCCCCCACTCAGAGGTGGGGTTCTTGTAGCTTTCAGACACCCGACTTCAGGATTTGAGCAAAGCCCAGTTAAAAGCACGACGTGTTGGAAGGGCCTCTAAGCTGTAACTCATCAGTTCTCCAGCAAAGGGGGGAGTGGGGTGTGAGCTCTGGGGCTGGCCCTCGGGGTGCCAGCAGGCCGGAAGCCCCCTTTTACTGTAAATTTCTAAATTGTGTAAACCGTGTTCTGTGTATTTGAAACGTGAATTAAACCAACAAAATAAAAGCAACTAAAAACCTGAAAAGCTCCTCCTAAGGTGCATTGGAGCCCAACAGGAGGCCTGTCTGGCCTTCACTGGAGGACAACTGACGTCTGGAGCGTGGCTCCATGCTCTGTGTTAGTGCCCCCCAGGACAGACCCGCTGCACAGGGCAAACTGCTACGTCTGGGAGCCGTTTTCAGAGTGAAAGATGCGGGCAGAAGAGAAACTCATCAAACTTTAATAGCAGAAAAACAACGTAAACCCAGATGTCTGAAGTTACAGTTTTGTTTTCTGTATTTTTGAGACCTGTCTGCAAAAGTGGTCTGGAATCAACAACTCCCGAGTCGGTGAGCACTTCCGCAACCCGGCTGGGGCGCCCCAGGTCAGTGCTGCACCCCTCACAGAGTCAGAAGGAGCACTTCGTGTGGGAGCATTGTCAACCTGAGGCTCAGACCAGTGTCAAAAAACCAGTATCTTCCACTGGCCAAATACCAGGCAACTCATGCTAACCACAAACCTCCAAAAACTGAAAAACAAAAAACCAACCCCCGAGGTCTGCTGGGATTTATGGTAAAATCCCAAGTCCACACACCAACCTTAGTGGCCACTGCAGGTGACCACCGCAAGGCCAGGGTGACCCTCCTCAAAAAATGGCTCCCCGTGAAAACGCTCTGGGGACTCGGCAGTGGCCCGCCCTGAGCCCTGACCAGCCCTCACCCTGGGCTCTCTGCTCCCTGCCTCGTGTCCCTGGCCGTGCTGCTCTGTGGGACCCAGGGCAGCCTGTGATGGACTGGCTCCACCCCAGTCCACAGCGTCTACAGTTAGTTGGCTGTTAGGGGCAGGGTGATGGGATTGGCTTGTGTCTGTCTCAGCCTGGACCCGTGTTCGGGACAGCAGTGGGGGCAGTGCCAGGCTCCTGGGAATGACGCTGGGTGTGACCAGCTGTCTCATCCAGGCACTGCCCCCTGACGGGGTCTGGGCAGATGGTGTCCAGTGTGAGACACGGGCCTGGCGATAGTCAGGAAAGCAGTGTCCAAGGAGGGAAAAAGGACAGCGGGCCCTGAAGCCCCTTCTGGAACTTGGGAGCTGGTGCCCCAGGCTCTGCATCCTGGGCTCTGTCCAGGGAAAGGACTTCAATCCCTGGGCGCCCCCCCCCACCCCCTGCCTGCTCTCCCAGAGTCTCCCGCCATCATCACGCGGGCTTCTTCCTGGGAGGGGGGCGGGCTGACTGAGCCTCCCGCCGCTCCCGCTGCAGTGTCTTCATCGCCCTGTAGGCCCGCACAGCTCTCGCTCTCTCCTCCGCCAGGATCCGCTGCCGAGCCATCGAGGCCGTCGGAGGCTGGGGCCCACCGCCAGGGCTCAAAAGCGTCCCCAGGATCAGTGACTTCTTGCTGGGCTGAGGACCAGAGACATGAGGTGTGGCACCAGTTCAGGGAGAGGGCAGAAGACAAAGAGTGGGGTCCGAGAGCTGCTGGGCCCAGTGAGAATCACGCTCACCAGTGACAGGGGAGTCCCCGCCTCTGCTCACCTGTCCCCTGCTCACGCTCGTCCTGGGCTTGGCGGTCAGCTCTGGGGGCTGCAGGACGACCTCGCCGAACTTCACCGTGTCTGGAGGGCCAAAGGGGCATGCCTGAGGCCCGCTGCCCACGCACCACCCCAGTCCCAGCACCTGAGCCACCGTCTGCCCATCCACTGACCAGGAGGGGACAGAGGTGCCACCGGCCCCCACCCAGGGCTGACACAGTCCCCTCGGGGAGCCACCTCGGAGCAGCTCCTGCTCCAGCCTCTCCACTGCCTTTTCCGCCTTTTTCCGCCGGACTTTATCCAGTCGCCGCTTCTGGAACCTGGGGAGGAAGGCACCGCCGTTCAGATTCCCAATTCTCCTTTCACTGGGCTCGGGGCAGTGGAAGTCACCTTGCCCAAGGCAGAGCCCAGGTGGCTGCCGCCACCCCGCTGTCCACCAGAGAGGGCTCTACACCCAGCCAGCCAACAGCTGTGAGGGATATGCTGCACCTCCTCCTTACAAACTAGGAGCCGGGCCCAAGGGGTCGCTGCTGAGGGCTCTCCAGTCTCTGGACAAAAAGGTGACGTTGGGAACAGAACCCCAGTCCACATCCAGGGAGAGAAGGTGGCAATCGCCAACCAGAAGAGGAGCCCCAGGGCTGCATGTCAGGCTCACCCGGACCCCCACCCGCACCAGTCCTGCTTCCCACGGGGCAGGGGTGTCCCCAGGCAAACGCCCTCCCAGGGGACAGAGCTTCACCCGGTCTCCACGCCCCACAGCAGCTGGGCTGCTGGCCCCGACCTGCTCTGGTGCTTGGCCCCCTTGACGATTTTCCAGAAACACGCAATGACAAGGCTAGGTCCTCAGACAGCGGTGGGTCAGAGCCTCCCTGGGCCTCAGGTGACAAAACACTGTCACTGCAGAAGTCACTTGAGGGACCCCAACCCCCCCAGCCCCGATTCACGCTTTCTTCCGCTCCGACTTCTCCTTGGGAGCCGCCTGCGCCTCAGGCTGCTGGTCCACCCGGTTCTTGCTGAGGAAGAGCACGTGCTGGGCCTCCTGCTCCATGCGCTGGACGTAGGCCCGGTCGGGCTCCCCCTTCCTCTGCTTGAACTTGGGGACTGCGATGTCCGGGTCCACGCCCTGCGCTTCCTTCTCCAGTGTCCTCCTGAAGGCCGCCTGGGCTGAGGACAAAGGGAGATGGGGCACAGGGCCTGAGGAGCAGGAGGGTGGGGGTGACCCCACAGCTGCCCCATGATCAATCCCTCCCAAGGCCACAGGACGGAAGGTGGGGCTCAAGAGGGAGCAGCCAATCACAGTGGCTGAGGGGCTCTGAGACGCCCATTTTAAGACACCCACAGTGACAGGGTCCACACAGCCCTTGGGGATGTGTCGAAGTTGTCACTGTAGCTTAAACAGGAAACGAGCTCAGTGTCCACCAGTGGGTGACCGCTGAGTGAATCCCATGTTCACACAGAGACTGCCCAGGTGGAGAGGGGCACAGCGGAGCCCCCCAGGGACGTGGACAGACCTGTGTGGTCCCCTGTAAGCAAAAAACCCAGAGCACTAAATGTGTAGACAGTACAGCTTTTACGTCGCACGGACTTGAAAACGTGCTGATTTCTCCTGTGCATATAGGAGAAACAGGGAAGGTGAACCGTGGTTTCTTTCAGGAGCAGGGAGGCCGTACCTCGCTTCCTACCTTTCACGTTCCATGTGTGAGCGTGTGTCTTTTAAATAACCTAACCGGAAAAGGGCTCCTTCAACAACCACGCTCCAATGTGCCATCCTCCCCCAGGCCAGCATACCTCCTCCCTCCCTGCGCTTCTCGCCTGTCTTTCACATAACCCCACAGAAGAGCCTGGGGCTTCGACAGACACCAGTGCTGTAGAACCAGCCCTGTGTTTGAGAACACAAATACACGTCTGCACAAAATAGAAACATGCCGGACGGCCTTCCCCAGCATGGCCTAATGTCGTCTCTGGCAGAAGCTGAGGAGTGGGCACGGCCTGGCCTTGGGGAGGGGTGGGAAGGTCAGTTTGTCAGAGTGAGGAGTGAGCCTCAGCAGTTTCCTCCTCAACCCCCAGACACCACCTACTTCCCTCCACCACTGTCTTTCACTTGCAGCCCCCCCCCCGCCTGTTGCACAGTCACCTCTCCTCCAAGTAAATAAATCCACAGCACCCTCCGCTCTGATGGATCTCCAATGCTCTGCTGTGGCCCTGGACACGCGGGCCTTGGGTCAGTCCTCCCCACGCTCCCACACCTCAGGCCCCCACACCTCAGGCCACTGACTCGCCATTGGACAGATAAATCTGGGTAGTCCATCTTTATTGCCACCCACATAAGCCCGCACATTACCCTCTTTCTTTCTCTTCTTGTTACTGACAGGGTTTTTCATTTCCTGGCGACTCTTCATAATCTCTCGAAGCCGGAAAGGGATTTCCTGTTCATCCTGGTTCTTGGGCTTGCAATTCACTTTCTTCTTCTCTTTGCTAAGGAGGAGAACACGGGAGTGAGACGCGTTGCAAGTCCAGCAGAAGCAGTCAGAGGAACCGGCGCTGGGCCTGGGAAAAGCTTCGAAGGCCACCTTGGCTGCGGAGGGGAACGCAGGCCAAGGCCACATCCTCGCAGGGAGGCTGGTCCCTGGACTGGGTTCTCGCAGAACGCTCCGAGCGCCTGGGGGGCCGTCGCTCCCTGACCTTGTCCAGGGTGGCAGAGATGGCACCCTGGTTGGTGGCAAGTGCCACGCCAGAAACTTCATCGCGCCTCCGCTCGCCCACTGACCCTCCTGCACTCAAAGGCATGGACAGGGCAGGATGAGCGCCCCGGGCCGAGGGAGAGGCGCGGGCAGATTTCGGGGCGGTGAGACCCACCTGCGCGGCCTGGGCCACGGCGCTGAGCGCTGCTTCCCCTGCGGTTGCTGCCGCCGCCCTTGCGGCCGCCCCGGGCCTGCAGGTCCCGCTGTGCCCGTGGGGACCGTCGCTCGGCGTCCGGCTCGCGCCATCTGCACGCCGCGGTACCTGAAGAAGACACTTGTGCTAGGTCCCGCCCCACCACCTCCACTTCCCCTTCTGGTGCTCGGCCCGCGCTCATTGGGGTGGTGCGTCTCCCAGCCGAGCCCGGATTGGTCAAGGGGCCGTCGCTCACCGCCGGGAGGCTGGGGCGCGCGTGCGCCGTGGGCCGGGCCGCGGGCATGGTGCTGGGGCTCGTAGCTGCTGGAGGCCGGGCGGTGGCGGCAGCTGTCCTCTGCTCTGTAAGTACCTGCGGTGGCGGACGCGGTGGGGTCGGCGGGGGCTGGTTCTGGGACCCCGCGCAAGCTTGGGCCTGCGAACCTCGCCGCTTGTCGGCCCTGCTGTCTCCAGGCACCGCTGCGGGTCTGTGAGAAGGGGTTTTGCCACTGGACAGAGCCCTGGGAGAGTGCCAGCCGGGTCTGAGCTCTTTCACCGAAAATATCCCTGGAGTGCCCGCTGTACGCGGCCCCTGTGGGGACGCCCCCGGGAACAGGAACTGATGCTCCGTGGGCTGAGCCCGGCAGGTTCAGTGCCACGGAGACACACGGAGCCGGGAAGAGGGCTCCAGAGCTAGGCTGGGGCTGGAGCTGTAGGGAGGGCTGCGCCCAGGCCTTCAGGGATGACCTGGGCGGCCTGGGCTTCTCCTGTGTCAGGGAAACCGGGACTGAGCAGGGAGGGATGCATATTAGGGGAGAAACTCAGGTCTTCTCGCCCACGCAGCAAATAACTACAGATCAGCAGGTGTATTAGCATGTGAGCAAGGTTTATTAGTGGTAAAGAGAATGGGCCTTGCCGAGGTGGGGGTGAAAGGCATAGGTTCAGGGCAGGACAAGGTAAGGGCGGCAAGAATAGAACTTCTATAGTTGGTGGGAGGGGAGTGAAGAAGTTACATATTGATCGCCGGGTGAAGGTGGTGTTTGCTTCCACGGGGCACATGACTACACAAACGTAGGTATGTGGGGGGGGTCTGTTAGCTGGAATCCTGATCTTGCTCCCACCCCATTTGTTCATCTTATAAAACAGATGCATGACAGAGGCACTTAATTAAAGTTGGGGCAGGTTGCCTACGGTTATTTATGGCCCTTTCCATAACCATTAGGGACTCCCTTGTAAAACAGATAGTGACCAGAGGCAAGCAGTTAGTCAAAGTTGTATATGGGTTTTTTTCCTTTGGGTGCTGTGGACCCCCTTCCCTCTCCCCTTCTAGACCTTGGAATGAAAGCACAGTTGCAAAGGCTTTCTCTCCCAGAGAGTGGAGTCCGTACACAGAATTCAAGGGCTCCCTCCTCCGGTGCCAACAGCATTTCTCTTGGGGTTCAGGATGCCTGGCATTACTATCGGACCAGGCCCAGGACTGCTGAGTTAGTGGGTGGGGTGTGCCTCCCTCCTCCTCCCTGCCTCGGACTGCTGTCTGTCCTACCTAACCATGCAGTTAGTCAGATGGGCAGAGGGGACGGCAGTCTGTACTGACTGGAGAGGGAGAGGTGGCTTCCACCCACCCGTTGGAAGCCACCTCTCCAACGCCCCCCCCCCCCCGTTCCTGTCCCCAGTGGAGCAGAGTAGTCTTAGCTGGAGGAGCCCAGCTTCCCCCCAGCCTCCCCCCCGCCCAGTCCACTGCAGTGCTCGCCCAGTGCCAGGCCCTGAACCCAGCCCGGCTCACGGTTGAACCCTGTGGTCCTCACCCCAGCCATCACCTCCGTCTAACGGATGGAAACTGGCTTGTCGGAGGTCACATAGAGTGAGGAAGCCTCTGACAGGAGGCCAGAATTTCCTTGGAGCTGGGGGCAGGCAAGGCCTTCCCAGCTTCCTGGAGATTCACAGGCTTCTCTGCGTTCTTAGGGGCCGGGCCGACTCTCCAGCTGGGACTGGTGCCGCTGGCTTCCTGGAGGCTGCAGCGCTCTCCACAGGCTCTGCACCCGGATCCCAGTCTGCGAAGGCCGCAGAGAGTTCAGGAAGGACCATGCGGACGAGGGCTCCCAAACAGGGGCAGATGGGACGAGGCGTCCCAGGTCCTCGCCGCCCAGCGGGGGCACTTCAGAAGCCCCGTACCCCTCACCACCTGAGCTGCAGCCCCCCACAAACTGCTGCATGAGCGGCTGCCCCAACTGCGTGTGGGTGGACTATGCAGAGGCGCTGCTGCGGCACTACCAGGACGGCGGGGAGCGGGCCCTGGCTGCCCTGCAGGAGCACGTGGCCGACGAGAGCCTCCGGGCCTTCCTCAGAATGGAGATCCAGCTCCGCATGAGGAGCAGGGGCTGAGCCGGCCCGGAGCTCCCGCCCAGGCAGCGCTGTGGCCTCCTCATCCGTGGCCCCCAGTGTGGCTTGTGTCCGGTGGGGCCGGAAGAATTACTTGTTGACCCAAAAATAAATCAATTCTCTGTGCTGCTGTCCAAAAGGCTCCTGTGGCCTCGTCAGAGGGCAGGGACAGGTTGTCACAGGGGTTCCCTGAGTGCTTTATGGCCTCCATCAACCTGTGAGCGGGAAATAAGATTCGTTCCCTTGAATGTTCAAGTGACGAGGGCCCCCCGGCCCCCCGGCCCTAGCATCTCCGAAGTCCCCGCTGAAGGCTGGCTGCGGTTCCTGAGCAGTGTGGTGGAGGGAGGGTCATCTGGTCCCATGAGGTTGTCGTTGGCAAAGCCCTTGGCCCACATGGAAGTCTCCAGGCAGCCTGGGAGGTTCCCCATTGGTCCAGCTGCGTTCTGTCCCCATCTGCTGGGGTTCTTGGGAGGCACCAGTCTGCCAGCCAAGTAGACGGCCGCACATCAGCCAGCAGGGGCCTGAGCGCTTTGTAGCCACCGGTCCTTCCAACCCACCTAAGGCACAGTCCGAAGGGCAGCTGGCCAAGGTGGAAGGACCAGGGGGCCTCAGGCATTAACCTCGGAGCCAGTGTCCTGGCGCCAGCCCGAACCCTCACCGCCCATCCCAGTCACCTGCTCATCCTTGCCCGTGGAGTGTCCCACCTCGTCCTCCACTCCCCCTCCAGCAATGAATTCCAGGCTCTGATACCCGAGTCCCGGACAGGGCAGGGTTCCATGAATTTACGCCAACTCTATCTCCTCATGTGCAGAAAAAGCTGAGGCTGGAATCTCACAGGGGATTTGAGCTGATGGAGTGCCCTCCCCTTCACGTACAGCCAGTGTTCCCACGGAGACGCAGCTCGGTGGCCGAGGGGGGAAGCCACATGGCTGCAGATGGGGGCCGCACTGCGGCCGGACCCGGCACCCGGCAGTTTGGGCTGCCGTCTGGCTCAGCCAAGGCACGTCATCCAGGAGCGCTCAGAGCGCAGGTCGGCTCAGAGATGCGTGGTCAGGGTGACACATGTTTCTCAGGCTGTGTCTTGGAGGGTGTCCAGTCTGACCCCGTCCGCACATGTATGAGAACGGCCTGGGGAGGGAGCAGGGCAGGGGTGAGGGGGCCGGAGAGCAGCCAGAGACCTGTGTCCTCGTTTCAAAGGCCAGCTGCTTCAGGAGAGACTCCCCCTGCTGGCCCTTCCCAGTCACAGTCCCCCTCCCGGCCTGGCTCTGACCCCCGGGCTCCTCCTTCCTGCAGGCCCCGACTGCACCTGAACCCCGCGCCCGACCCCCAGAATCCTCAGCAGTGGTGCCCGCCCCAGTGGCCCTGGCAATCCTATTAGCGTGGCATCAGGGGACAGTCTTAATCGGCTTACCCAGTCACAGGATAAATGCCCGGTGGACACCCTGGTGAGGGAGGCCGGCCACCCACCCGTGGCTCCCTAACACTGGCCCAGAGCTTGGTGAGTAGTGACCCCCCCCAGTGGCCTTTCCTGGCGGCCACTTCCCAAGGGTGTTGGTGGGCATCTGCCTAGAGGGTGGGAAGCTGGTGGGCTTTTTACCACCTCACCGCGGCCTGGGCCTGTGAGAGCTCACCCACTCCCGTGTTCAGAGAGGACGCCCAGCCGGTTCTTCCCGCTGCTCCCCCTAGGCAAACGGTGGTGCGGGCTGTCCCCAAGGCTGGTGATGGGTGGTCTGGGAGTCTCAGGCCACACGTGCTCAGTCAACTTGAGTGGGCACCAGCCATCAGCGCGGCTGCGGCCGGGGCAGCTCAGGCAGCGGCTTCCGTGGGGCCAGTGAACCTTAGGGCCGGAGGGCCCATGGCCGGTCCACTCCAACCCCAGGGGCCCAGCACCCACTACTGAGCCTCCCTGGTCAGTGGGACCCCCTGTCCATGCGTCTCACTTGGGTCTCAGCCCTGATGCTTTAGTAGAAAGCCCTTGGCAGCCCGCCAGACTGGGGACAAGAAAGGGGACCCAGGAGATGGTGCCCGGGACGTGCTATGTGGGAGCAGCGCTCCTGTCTGCGTCACCTGCTTCGCTCTAGAGCCATCCGGGCCCCAGTGGCCCTGAGGGATTAGTCTCCCTCCAGTGCTAATAGGCTTGGAGGAAGCCGAGCTGCCCTTGACCTTGGCCAAGATCACTGGGGCTTAAGGCATCGGGGTTGGGGGAGAGGAAGGGAGGTTACCCGTGCAGTGCAAGGATGCCAGCAGGCGACCTGGGCACCCAGAGGGGCCCCAAGCACAGTGAGTGGCTGGGAGGACCCTGCGGGTGGAGGAGCTGCAGCTGAGCCCGGTGGCAACCCCCGCTGAGCCAGGGGCTCCCCTGCCCGGGCAGCGCCCCTGGAGTTTCCCTTCATCGGCAGGGCACCGCTGGGCGCCTGGCTTGCGGCTGTGAATCAGACAGCACCTGCCGGCCCCAGGGGTCGTGCAGGGGGCAGAGGAGGGGAGACTCGTGAGGAGGGGGGCACGGGGGGCCCCTGTGGAGCCCCGTGGAGGGGGGCTGCCGTCTGGGTCACCCTCAGGACCCATCGGGTCTCGGGTTTTGGGTTTTCCTCCAGTGGCTCAGGCCTGGCAGGGGGTTGGGGGCAGGAGGGCTGACCGGCACCCTGTCTGCCCTGCCCACAGCGTGAGGCAGCCCAGGAGCCAGAGGTCGCCACAGGGTCCCTGCGAGAGAGGCCATGAATCTGGAGCCACCCAAGGCCGAGATCCGGTCGGCCACAAGGGTGATTGGGGGGCCCGTTACTCCCAGGAAAGGGCCCCCGAAATTTAAACAGCGGCAAACCAGGCAGTTCAAGAGCAAGCCCCCCAAAAAAGGCGTCCAAGGGTAAGCAGACTTGGGGAGAGGGTGGCTCCCGAGGGGTGGAGGTACTGAGGCCCAGGCCGCACAGCGGGGAGGTGGGGGCCTCAGCCGCCCTCCCTGGGTGGGTGGTCCCGCTGTCCTCTCACAGGGCTCCGGGGGGCCTGGGAAGGAGCTGGGGGCCCCACCCCCAGCACCGGGGGGGTCGGGCTGGAGGCTCCTGTCACTCTCCAGCTGCCGTTGCCCGATGGGTGTGGGAAGTTCGCTCGCTGTTATCTGGACACTCGGTCGCCGCCCCCAGTGTGGGCCCCGCACACTCACGCACACCCGGGGCACACCCGGGCACACCCACAGACACTCCGTATTCTCGAAGCCCGCACTCAAGGACGGGCGCAGCCCCGCGCGCCCCGCTCCGCGCTCGTCCTGGCCACGGTCCTGACCGCCATGTCCTTGCAGGTTTGGGGACGACATCCCTGGGATGGAAGGCCTGGGGACAGGTAGGCTGATCCCAGGGTCTGCCTCTGGCTTGGCCAGGCCGGGGCTGGTTTGGGGTCCTGCCCGTGCCCGGTCTTCATTCTCTCCGAAGCACCCTGGTTCGAGCCCCCCCGAAGCGGGGTGGTTTCCACAGTGGCTTCACCTGGTGGGTGGAGCGGCTGGGAGGGGGGGGAGCACCTGCTGTCCCCTCCCCCGCAGCAAGGCCCCCCTTCTTCTTTCCCCCCCCTCGGGCCTGCTGCACCCTCAGCCTTCCTGAGTGGGGTGCCCACTCCACACCCCCAAAGCTGGTGTGCCCTGGGAGGAGGGTCTTCACCACTTGGGGTGTGGACAACAGGGCCCCAAGGGGGCAGCGGGGCCACCGGACCTCCGAGACACGCTGGCCCCTTCCCCTGCAGACATCACGGTCATCTGCCCGTGGGAGGCCTTCAACCACCTGGAGCTGCACGAGCTGGCCCAGTATGGCATCATCTAGCCTCCTCTGCGGTCCAATCCAGCCCCCACCCCACTCGGAGTCCTGCAGAGAGGCTCCGGGGTGTGTCCGGAGACCCTCAAAGGACAGGACCTCGGGCCCCTGGACACCAGGAGCCCATCGCCCCCCACAGGACGCCTGCCTGGCTCCCTGAGAGACTGGCCCACAGACCCTCTCGTCCTGCGGCTGGAACCAGGGCAGGGTCTCCCAGCCGGGTCCCTCCCAGCCCTGCTCCTGTCCTGCTTGTCCCGAGGCGAGGACAAGCTGCCCCCACAAGCCATTCCCAGCTGGTGCCCCTGGGTGGGCGTGGTGGGTGGTGGGAGTCCTGGGGGCATCAGAGAGCGAGACCCCTCCAAACCCACTGCAACGGTGGGAAGCCGGTCCTGTCCCTGCTTCAAAATAAAATCCTTGTGCCCCTACTCGCTCCTCTGGGTCAGAGCCTGGGGTTGTAGGTAGGAGGAAGGCACAGGACGGTGGGGGCAGCAGGGGCCGGGCCAGCCCGACAGGGAAGGAATCCCGTGGGCCCGTGAAGGCTGGGTGGGCAGCCAGGCCGGGGCGGGGCCAGGAAGGCGGCTGACCACCCTCCCCCAAGGGCGGCAGACGGCCAGAGCCTCAGCGGGGGGGCAGAGTGGACAAGGCCCAACAGCAGCTCCCACCGGAAAAGGGAGCTCCCACCCCACTCACAGGGCAGGGGGCAGGCGCAGAGACTCGGGGTAACGCCCGGTGGTCCGGCTGCCCCGTCCTCAGTGTCCCCCAGAGCCGGACAGGTCGGCACCTGTGACCCAGCAACTCCCCTGCTGACACCGCACCCAGGGGAAGGTGACACCACACAGGTACAGCCCATGCAGCCCTGTGCCCAGCGGTGCCACAGTCATCACCTGGGAGCTGCCAGGGGCGTGCCCACGGGGACCAGTGCGGCGACCAGACGGTGCATCTCAGAAAGGTCCCCCTTTTATGCGACGACCGGAAAAGGCCACCCTAACAACGAAAGGCCATGAAGCCACACAGGGAGGGGCCGGGGAGGGGCCAGGGGCCGGCTGGGCTGCCCCTGGGCCCGGTGGTGGGTCCGCAGGCATTTACGTGGGGAGGAACCTCGCACTGCTCACTTGAGGTTGGTGCGATTTACTGTGCGAATGATACGTCTCCAGAAAATTTACTCCCTCCCCAAAACACCCTCCAGAGGAGAGGCCTGGGCCTCGCCCTCAACCACCGCAGTGGACCGAAGAGGGGGCAGGCGCAGGCCTGGTGAGGCGGGGCCTCAGGGTGATGATGGTCAGAGGGGCTGGGGTGGGGGGCGGAGGCCAGCCTCGGAGGTGGGCGTCAGACACAGACACCTGGTGGGCGTGGGAGGGGCTCCCAGGCAGGGCCTCCGAGTCTGCTGGTCCGAGCAGGAGTGGGAAGTGGGAGGCGCTGAGGCTGGGCCTGGGAGGCTAGGGTGTGGTCAAACGGTGGGGTCAGAGGTGGGCGCTGGCAGCGGAAGTTGGAGCCGGGGGTTCCCTGGTGGCCTCTTGGGCACCCTCTGTGGCTCCCAGGCTGAGCCCTGGGTGTGAACCAGTGCTCTGACCGCATCAGTTTGTGAGCAAAGGGGCGGTGCCAGAGGGTGGTCCCTGGGGCAACGGCCTCTGAAAGAGCAGAATCAGGTGGCGGACCAGCTGTGGGAAGGGGACCCTCGGGGGCCAGGGGCACCGCAGCGTGGGGAGGCGCTGCGTTGGAGGCTCGTGTCCCCGGCTGCAGGTCAGCCCCAGTCCTGCTTGGCAGGGGGCTTGGCCCTGGGATGGTCAGCCAAGGCCCTCACCAGCTGCACGGCCATCAGGAGCTCCGCCCCCTGGACCAACACCACAGCGACCGCAAAGCCACCCAGTGCCCGGGCCCGTGCGCGAAGCCACCGATGGAGGGGCACGCTGCAGCCCCCCAGGTGCGCCGCTCTGGCAGCCATGTCCTCCGGCAGGCGCAGGACGCCAAAGCCGCACTGGTCGTTGATGGAAGCTCCCGCTTCTCGGGGGTCAAGGCAGCAGGAGGCAGGCAGGCTGCAGGCCTGGACCCCCGGGGAGGTGCAGTTGAAGTACCTGCAAGGGGCACCCTGTCACTCTGGAGGGCGGGCCCCCTCTCCGGGCACCCCACGCTGGGTGGGGCAGCTCCCGCCCACCTCGCGCTTCCATGGCCACACCCAGGCATAGGCACATGCACACGCAAGCGCACTCAGGCGGGACTGCACTCGCACGATGCCCACACGGGCCCCTGGACGGGGATCCACACGCCTGCACGGGAGCGGCGCACGGTGGCCCTCGGCACATGCAGGCAGATGTAGTAGCTTCTGGGCTGGAAGGGGCATTGTTAGTGAGGTGGGGGGGGGGGAGCACTGGGGGGGGGCGGGGGCGGGGCGGGGGGCGGGGGGCGGGGCAGATGCTGCCGAGCTGGTTGGAGCAGGAAGGAGCAGGAAGAGCTGGGGCCGAAGGTGGGCAGAGGCCTCTGTTGTGGTCAGCAGGTTCCAGCAGGGGCCTGAGGGGCAGCGTGGGCAGCGACCAAAGGTGAGAGGCTTGGGAGGAACTCCGGGGCCAAGGGGAGGCATTGTTCTCGACACGCAGGCACCCCCCAGACACGCACACACACAGACACACACGCAGTGGCTAGAGAGTGTTCTGAATTTGACATTGATGTTTTGTATGGTGTCCTCGCCAGAAAACACCAAAGGTGACTTTCTAACCCGCTGGCCGCCCTTCTCCATTGACGCTCCTGTGTGTCCACCAGGCTGGGCCTGAGTGTGCACACATGGGTGTGCTCGAGTGTATGTGCACACGGGTGTGTGTGTACAGAAGTGTGCACATGTGGGTGGCCATGACCCCCCCACCTCCAGCTTCAGGACTCACAAGTTCTCCTGCCAGTCCCGGTAGGAGGTGGCCCCGCAGCACCGCAGCCCAAGCTGGACTTGGTCGATGAGGAAGCGCAGGTCAGGGTCGTCCTGGTAGTGGGTGATGGCCACACGCAGGGCGAGCTCCAGTCCGTCCCGCAGCGGGCCCCAGAGGGCCGCCACCAGGACCCCCCCGACGGCCTCCAGTGCCAGGAAGGCCAGGAGGCCCCCGGAGAAGCAGCGCAGCAGGCAGGTGTTCTCACAGAGGGCACCCAGGCAGCCTGCCAGGCTCACCACACTGACCGCCAGGCCCCCCAGCACCAGCCCCAGCATGGGGTCTGTGGGCAGGGGGCCCCCCCAGCTGCTCCCCAGAGAGCCCTTGACAGCCAGGCCCCAGAGCCCAGTGGCCAGGGCCAGCAGGCCGAGCAGGGAGAAGAGGAAGTTGGAGAAAAAGGTCAAGCATTGGAGGCAGCTCCTTCTCAGTGGGAGCGAGGGGGCCCGGCCTCCCCCGAGGCCTGTCCTCCAGTCCCCTCCTGCTGGACCCAGGCAGCTGGAAGTGAGGAGCGGCTCCCGGCCCCCAGAGTCCTGCAGAGGAAGAGGGACAGGGGATCTCAGCAGTGCGACCCTATGACCCCGTGGCTTCTGACCCAAGGAGTAGGAGACCCTGGACAGCCAGAAACATGGGGGGCTCCAGACTGGGAGGGGCACGTGCCAGCTCCTTTGGAACAGGGACCCTGGGAAGTGCGAGCTCCACCAGCACACACCCGCCCCACGCCCCTCTGCACCTGCTCGATGAAGGGTGTGGTCCCAGGGGACTGCTCCACCCAGGCTGGGGGGCCAGCACCCTCCGCCTCCTCCTCTGGCACTGGCCCCGATGTCCCAGGAGGCATTCAGTCACCCCCACTATGCCGGGCCCACGGCAAGGAGACCAGGCTCCTTGAGGCGCAGGGCTTGCCCGGGAGCCTGCCTTGCCCTCTAGCAGGACCCGTAGGCAAGCCCAGGGCCCTGGCCGCACCAAGGCGGAGGGTAAAGGGGCACTGAATGTTGGAGGGCCATCCTTCCCCTGGCCCCGCACAGAAGAGTGACCGACTCATTGATCAGTGAGGTTTGGAGAGGCCCCGTCACGACGTCTCCATTTCAGACCCCCCTGCTCCCCTCCACCCACAGGCAGGTCTGGGAGGGCCTTCTGGTCTCTCCCTGCAGTGGGGAGGGACAGCCTGCCTCACGGGCCTTGCTTGGCGACCCACAGGCACCCGGTCCTGCCAGGGCTGACATCTGCTGGGGGAAGAGCCAGGGACCTGTGGCAAGTGCCCAGGCAGGGGTCCCTTCCAATGCCATCCACCGGGAAGACGCTGCTCCCAACCCCCACTTGCTGCTTCTGCTCTGAGGCTTCCCTGATCCTGAACTCAGGGCAGGGAAGAGGAGGCTGTCAGCCCTCCAGACCCCAAAATCAGTGCGAGCAAAGGGGCAGGCAGCGGGCCTGCGGGTCGGGGCCCGGGCTGCAGGAGGGGCCACGGGTGTGGGCTGAGGGGTCGCCTGCAGCTCCACAGCCGCGGGGAGGGGCGTGCGCGTCCAGCACCTCCTGGATCCTGAGCCAGAGGGCACCCTCAGATCTAGAGACCCCCGACCCCATCCCTTGTCCAGGGGCTGCACTGGGCTGAGCGACATGGGCAGCGGGGCGGGACCGCAGGGGAGGTGAGGAGGCTGAGGGGTCTGGGGGTGATGGAGGGGGAGGGGCGGGATATGAGGGAGGCCCGATGGCCCTTGTGGGCCCCTTCCGCCAGGTGTGTGCTTTCCCGGGGCATGGACTGACCAGCGCTGTGTCAGATGCAAGGCCAAGGCCAAGTCACAGCACACAGCCCAACACAGGGTGTTGGTGAGGTTGAGTGCCTGGTTAGTAAAACTCCTCCCCAACCTTCGTAGCTCCACGGGCCTCGGGCCTGGGGACACCCTCATCCAGCTGGGGGGGGCACCAGGGTGCTGGCTGACCTGGGACAGCAGGGGGCTCCTCTCCCCCTCCTTCATCCTCCACCAGGACAGGCGTGCAGGTCCCTGCTGGGCTCTGGCTGGGACCGGGGGCTGGTGCTGCCGTGTCTCCCACCACTCCGGGAGCTGTGAGCCCAGGGCGGGACAGCACGGTCACGAGGGATCATGTGAGGAGTCACATTTGATGGCTTAGGGCGGGCTCTGCCCAGGCAGATGCATCCGCCTTTCTTCTGGAGCTTGGTCCTGGGCTACACTCCGTGGGCTCCATGCTGGGGGGCTGTTAGGGTGCTGGCTCCAAGGCCGTCACTGCAGGGCCCAGTGTGGCCCTCGGCCTGGCAGTTCCAGCGGCTGCCCCCCCAGGGACACAGAGCCATGTGAACTGGTTCATAGTGACAGTCCCAGGCCACCTGCCTGCAGCCGACTGCCAGCTTACCCCCTGACTGACTCCCTGTAAGAGTGAGGCAATACCCGCTGGCGAGATGGCATCCTTCCTGGCCACGGGTACCTGCCTGAGCTCCTGACGGGCAGGACTTGGTCACAGTCACCATTGTGCCCAGTTCCAAAAGGATGCCCAGCACGCGGCCGCCATGCAGACAGCCATACTTCAGGCTGCCCCGGCCCGCAGCGTCCAACCCCACGCCTGCCACGGGCCCTGCAAAACCACCCACAGCACAGCAGACAGAGGTCAGGGCAAGGGCGGGAACTGGAGATTGGAGACCTTGTACAGTCAAGCTGCCACTCAGCTCTTCCCCAAAGGTGACACTCAAGCCTCATCAGTGAGGCATCTGGTCCCAAAGCCAGGCTCTTGGGTGCCAGCTGTCACCTCTCTCGCTCTGTCTCAGTGTTGTCCTGATACTGGGACGAAGGGAGTCACCACGGCCACTGCTGTGGGCTGGACGGTGTTCCCCAAATTCATATATCAAAGTCCCAACCCCAAGACCTCAGGAGGCGACTTGGAGATGGAGCCTATAAAGGGGTCATTAGCTTCAAATGAGGCCTTGGGGGGGGGCTACCGCAATATCCTTATAAGAAGAGGGACCTGGGACCCACAGAGAGACAGCAGGGATGCTCGAACACAGGAGAAAGGCACGGGGAGAAGGTGGCCGTCGGCGAGCCGAGGAGAGAGGCCCTGGGAGAAACCACCAGGCCGGCAGCTTGGCCTCGGAATTCCAGACCCCGGGCCCCAAGAGACAATCAGGCTAAGCCACCTGGCCTGGGGTCTTCCGTTTTGGCAGCCTCGGAAAACAAACACAGCTGCTAATATAATGTAACAAATCTGCATGATTCCTTCGCAGAACCAAAACAGAGACGAAAGGTAAGCAACGTGGGGTAGGGTGGCATGGCCGTCCCCGGGCAGTGCCCCAGTGCGGCCACATTAAGGCAGCTCCCCAAGAAGTGTCCTTGCTCTTCTGGAAGGAATACATTTGGTTAGAAGAGGAGCGAAATGTCAGCGGCCGTTCGGTACAAGAAGAACAGGAAAAAGAGTGGTCCCGCCCGCCCCTCCCTTCCCCTGCGTTCAGCCACAGGGGCCTCCATTGTCCTTCAAGTGCCCATCACGTCTTAGGCCCCTGGGCCTTTGCATGTGCTTGCCCCTCATCTCCGTCCACTCGTCCCTCAGACACCTGCGTCACTCACTTCATCTGCGACCGGCTCAGGCCGGCCCTCGGAGAGCTCCCCCGCTTGGGTTGTGGGCCAGGCGCCGGTCAGAACCTGACATTACGTGTTTCGATGCTGACGTGTGTATAATCTGCCTCCTCCCGGTGGATTGCACCAGGGCGGGGCTCTGGCTCTTTCCTGCTCTGTCCCCAGCACCAGAGCCACCGTGGGCAGAACCTGCCTGCAGAAGAGGTAGCATGTTTTGCCTTGTATAATGGGTACTGTTTTGCCCACATTTCTGAGGGAAAAATAAGGATGTGCATTCTACATGGATATAGTGATTACATACCATGGGTGTGATAATGGGTATAACAACCCCGGGTGTAATGTGCACAAAACGTGGGTATTTGGCGAGGAAATGAAGTAGGGTTCAAGTCAGTGCTGTGACTGAGACCGTGGAAGAGACTGTGTCCCAAGCACTGTCACAGTACCAGTCACAACGAAACCAGGTGGGCACGGGAGGAAATGACAGTGACAATTTCCTAACATTTTCCAGTACAAGAGTTAAATAAATACAGTAGGAAAGTGAACCACAGGGGTTAGAAAACATAGACTTTTCTAGCCTCTTGGATGTGTCCATAAGTTTTTTTTTTGCCATCGTAGACATCAGCACAAAATATGCAGGGCTTGCTGCTAAATGAAAATGTGGAGCTTCATGTTCAAAATTAGCCATTTAAAGACAGGGACGGCGGAGCATGGAAGGGAACAGGAGGCCTTTGAGTGTCAGAGGGGGGTGTGGGAAGCTGGCGCCGGTGGCCTGTTGTGGGACACCAAGAGTCTGTGGCAAAGAAGTGTTTGTCTAAAACGCAGCCAAAATCCATCTGCTTTTCTCATGTTACATTTAGGGAAAGTAACTCCTCTCTTTTTAAAATAACGTTTAGCACTGGCTGGTGTAGCTCAGTGGATTGAGTGTGGACCTGTGAAGCAAAGGATCGCAGTTCGATTCCCAGTCAGGGCACATGCCTGGGTTGCAGGCCAGTTCCCAGTGGGGGACGCATGGGAGGCAACCACACATTGATGTTTCTCTCCCTCTCTCTTTCCCTTCCCCTCTCTGAAAATAAATAAATAAAATATTAAAAAAAAAAATAACGTTTAGGCCCTGGATGGCATGGCTCGGTGGATTTAGCGCTGGCCTGTGAACCGAAGGGTCGCAGGTTCAATACCCTAGGTGGGGCACATGCCTGGGTTATGGGTCAGGTCCCCAGTGGGGGGCGCAAGAGGCAACCACACACTGATGTTTCTCTCCCTCTCTTTCTTCCTGCCTTCCCCTCTCTCTAAAAATAAATAAACAAAATCTTTTTAAAAACCCATTTAGGCACGCCGCCGCCCTCCTGATGGCCCTCCTGTCTCTGCGAGCCGCGAGGCCTTGTCTCCAACCACGACCCGCCAGCGGTCGTTTCTGTTCCTCTTTGGACTTCCCTCTGTTGCCTGGGTTTCTAATAACAATCACGTGTCATGAATAAAGCCATATTTCATTTAAAAATTTTTAAAAATTAAACAATTAAAATTGATTTTAGAGGGGGAGAGAGAGAAACACCGTCCTGTGGTTCCACTCATTCCCTCATTCATCAGTCGCTTCCTGTACGAGCCCTGACGGGGGGGATCGAACCCCAACCTTGGCATCCAGACGACGCTCTAACCCAGCAAGCTACCCGGGCTTCTTTCTTTAATGATTTACAAAAATTCAGTTACAGCTGACACTCAGTATCACTTTCTATTAGTTTGCGGGGTACGTAAAGCTGTCCTCCCAAGGGTTTGTTCCTCGCGCAGCCGGGTCCAGCTCTCCGCCTTGCGCGGGGCGGGCAGCTGGGGCGGGCGCGGGGCCGCGATGCGCAGGCGCGGCCGTTGGTGCGACCGGAACCTGGTTTCGGAGCAGCGCGCGGCCGGGGGAACCAGTTGGCTGAGGCACCGGACGTCGCGGCTGTGGCAGTCGGGCGGCGAAGCTGGAGCGGCGGTGGCGGCGGCGGCGGGAGGCCGGGGCTGAGGCTGGGGCCGGGGCTACTAGGCCCGTGGGGAGACAGGCGGCGGCGACGGCCCGGGGCTTGAGCCCGGACGCGGGAGCGGCCGCCATGGCCGACAGCATCGTGAGTGGGACGGCGGGCGGGAGCGGGCGCCGGGATGAGGCAGCAGATTTACCGGCGCGGCCTGTGGGGGCCCCCACGGCCCGCCCTCCCTCCGCGTTGGCCTGGCTGCGGGGCCGGGTCCCCGACCTCCCGTCTCCGCTCGTCCCCGCCCCGGAGCCTCGTCCTAGCCCGCGGGCCTAGCAAGGCGGCGGATCTGGTGGCGTGGCGGCGTCTCCCTCCTAGTCTCCCAGCGGCGGGGGCTCGCCGGTCGTCCCCCGCGGGGCTCTGTCCTGCCCCGTCCCCTTCCTGGTCCGTACGTTGTCATGACTCACGAAGGCAGAGCGCTTCCGCCGCGCGGGGACCATGCAGACCCCTCCCCGAGGAGGACACCGAGCCGAAGGAGACGGGAGCCTGACCAGCTGACTCCTTGTGGCAAGGAAGTGTTGACAGCCCCCTGTCTATAAAGGAAAGTTGTAGAAGTGGATTTCCTGGAATTAGGACTCGGCACACACCTTTTCTACCACTTAGAGAAAAGAAAGTCACTGAAAAATCATAAAACCGGCCATGCGGTAACTCAGGGAAGGTTTCCCCTGCGAAGTCAACGTGGCAGGAAATAAAATCAACAGACCCGCTGGACAGGAGAATTTGGTTGGCCGTGGAGGCCTGGGGGTGGGGAGCTCCCTGGGCCGCCAAGTGCGCCTGCCTGAGGGGTGGGTGGTGCGGGCCTAGGTGTTGACGCCAGGTGTCTGCACCCCCGCCACCGCGTCCCAGCTGGAGGGGAAGCTTGTAGTGACTCCTTGCTCAGCTCTCCAGGCAGCAGGCCCAACCTGCAGGTGGCTCAATTGAAACCTGACTCTTTTAAAATAACTCAGTAAACCTTGGTGACATGTTCTCGGAGTAGGTTAGGACATGGCCCCCAAGTCTGCTGTCAAACGTTAGAGCAGCACGTTGATCTGAATTGAAGTTGCCCCCACAAATCAATCTGCGAATGTGCATGAGGCCAGGCTCTCAGGCGACCAGGGGGACTACTGGCCAGTTTTTCAGACCAGGAGGAATTAGCTCCTGCCCTTTGGAAGTTGACTCAGAAGGTTTTTTTCTTTCTGGAGTTTAGAGAAAGGTCTTCTAAAAATTTCTGTGGATGTAACGGATTTCCACCTCACCAATTCTCAGACTCCTCCAAGGAGTTTTCTGAGCTCATTTTCTTATAGCTACAGAAACCCGAGTTACCAAGAGGCTGTGTGTCCCTGCTGCCAGTCTCTGCCTTGTTGAGTGTTTTGTTTTGCAGCCTGTGTTAGAAGCCCAGCCAGAGCGTCCCTCAGGATCAAGATCTTGGGCTTAACACAGAAACTGGGACCGCACGGCCATGTCACAGCTGGCCGAGTAGAGTAACTTCCCAGGCTTCACAGCTGTCCCCAGCTGTGTACCTCTGACCTTTGGAGTGGGTGGCTCCTGTGCTTGCCAGGGGAACAGGCCCAGGAGCTGCCCCAGAGTCCCTGCAGAGATGAGCTCTTCCCTCCAAACGTGTCTCAGCCTTGGAGACAGTTCAGAAGTGGGCAAGGGGAAGCAGTCACCCAGTGCCCAGGACGCCTTTCTAGGTGTTGAACCGGAGAGGAAGGAACTAGGGGTCGGAAGTCAAGAGCTTCTGTGTTTGCACTCCACACGGTGAGGGAGGACGTTAACCGTTGTAGTTAAGGAGCAAAGGTAGAGAATATTTTATGCTTCTGACAGTTGGGACTTCATGAGGATCATGTTAGAGGTTGAGAGGTCTGAAAGGTTGAGAGCACTATGGGCGGAGCCTTTCGGTCAAGTGCAGGCGGCTGGAAACCGGGAAGGACAGTCGCACTCTTTCAGGAAAACCTGGGTCAGTCTTCAGCTGTGTGAGAAGAGCTGGTGGCAGATGGGACGCCACGGCGGCATTTTGCCACGTGTCAGTGATGGCCTCCTCTTTAAAAGGACAGCTGTGGCCTCCTCGTCTGTGCAGCCGTGTTTCAGACCCAGAGGGCAGTGCGGGGACTGCAGGGAGGGGGCCGCCGGGAAAGGGGTGCTCCCTGTCCAGAGACGCCCGAGGCCGCCGGCCAGCTCTCTCTTCCTTAGAAGCCTGCCAAGCTCTGCTGCGGTGTCACCCAAACGCAGTCCTTTTAACCTTCATGAGAGCAGGTGGCCGCCCCACCACCCACCCGAGGGGGAAGAGGAAGTAAAGAAGCCAGTGACAGAGCAGAGGGCCCCCGGTTCCTTTAAGTCAGCCTCCTGCCTGTGTGCAGATCCTATGCAGGGTGGGGTTGTTTCGGATAGATGTGTGTACATGCATAGACGCAAATGCATGTGTACATACACGTGTGTATGCATATGTGCCCGTCTGTATATACCCATTTTTTGTAAATGATGTTAAAAATTGCAGTCGTGTTTTTCTGAGTGAAAGGTGAGGGGTGAGAAGTTGAGAGCCTGGACGGCACCGGAGGGCGTCCTCCTGTGTGACGACAGGCCTCGCAGCCAGGCTCTGTCTTTGGGACCCGAGGGCGGGGCTGGAGCGACCTGGAGCATTGGGCGGCGTCCTGAGAGCCTCCTCCATCTGCAGTCACGGCCTTGTCTTGCTCACGCAGATCGTCCGTGTGCAGTCCCCGGACGGGGTGAAGCGGATCACAGCGACGAAGAGGGAGACGGCGGCCACGTTTCTGAAGAAGGTACCTGCGGCTTTGGGTGCTTACCTGTCCGGGTCCTTGTTTCCTGGCTGCCGCTCCCAGTCCAGTCTCTCGCCCTGCTTTCTCCTGTCCCGATTGGTGGGGTCGACGCAGGGTCGGGCTGTGTCGCAGTCGGCCACGTTGCAGGGCCAGGGTCCCACAGGAAGTGCAGAGGGTTCTTCAGGAGCAGTGCCCATGAGTGAATGACTTATGGGGACAAGGGTTGGCCACCCAACCCGCCAGCCAGGGCTCGGGGGGTGGCTGTTGAAAACCCTTAGAGAATGGTCCCACCTTGTTCTCCAGAGTGAAAGCCCTGCCGGCCGGTAGTGTTGGCACAGAATACAGCACAGAACACGGTAGGAAAGAGGGCTGCCTGGGAAAGAGGGCTGCCAGGCTGCAGGGGTGGGCGGGGGAGGGGCCAGCGAACTACAAGCCCCCAGCCGCCGCCCGCTCTTGTACATTAGGTTTCGCTGGGATGCAACCTCGTCGAGTGGCCGTGGGAGGCCTGGCTGTTCACAGGAGGCATTTGCCTCTGCTTGCACGTTTCACGTTGTCCGAGTCTGTTGCGGGCAGTTCCTACCTCTGTAATGATAAGAAATAATGTTTTTCATTTCTCATAAGCCAAGAATCGTAAGTTCTCAGACTGTGAAGAGGCAGAGGGAATCTTTGGTGTGACAGAGTCTGATCTTCTTAATTTATAAAGGTGGAAGCTGAAGTCTGGGGAGTGAGGAGACTCGCTGAGGGTCTCCCTGGGGCTGTGACCCGGCAGTGAAGGCAGTGCTTCCTTGGGGGCTTGGCTTGTCGGACTGACTGTGGGAGGGAGAGGGAGACAGGTCCCGTGGCTCCTCTCATCCGGGCTCCACTCATGGGTTGCTGCCTGTGTGCCCTGAGTGACCGGGGACCAGACCCGAAACCTCGGCCTGTCAGGACCGTGCCCGACCGACTGGGCTACCCAGTCAGGACGGAAATTTGGTTTCTAAAAGGTAGTTGCTGTCAAGACTTTAGTGGTGCTGCGTATAGGACCCTAGTTGTGAAGGAAAAGAATTAGGTGTGGTAGACAACAGAAGAGAGACTCTCTTGAGTTTTCAACATGTTTTTGAGACCCTGCTCTTGGCTCTTCAGTAGCAGCTGACCACTGTCAGCTTGCCCCTCGGATGGTAGTGGGGGGCAGTCGACCCGGGCGTTGCCCTCTGGGTAGCTCTGGTCGCCTGCGGGCCCGGGGAAGGGTTTGGTGGTGGGAGGTGTAGTCTGCCTTGGGCTGCTTGGTCGCCATTGCCTGGGGGAGATCTCGGCAGTGCTCGGAGACCGGCATCTGTGACCCCGCAGCACTGTCCCTGTGGTGAGCGCCCTTCCTCTGACCACGGAACCGGCGGAGCAGGTATAGAAGGCTCAGGCCACACAGGAGAGTGTACAGAAGCCGCAGGAGTCCCCTGAAAGTCTGCCACCGGGCAGTGACCACTAACCTAGCATGTCGTCATGTGTGCACCCCACGTACATGTGTCACACACGTGCACCACAGTGGGGTTGTCCCGCATCCCTGTGTGTGTCAGCAAACCCGAGTCGTTGTTGGATTCTAGGAGAAACACTGATAAACTACTGAGAACGGAAAAGTGCTGTTAAGCCGACTTCTCTTGCCATTCAGAATTTTATTTGTACTTAATACACTGCTTTTTAGGCTTATTTGGAAACCACTTGACTCACGCGTTAGTCTTATGCACACACGAGAAGGAGGGCCGTGGTGCGGTCGGTTGGGCAGGGCCTCCCGAGACAGCAGCACAGCCGGAGCCCGGCCCTTCTGGGCCCGCAGGCCCCGACTGACGATGGACGGCTCCTTTGGTAGAACTGTTGGCGGCTACAGTTGCCTGGTCTGGGCAGCTGGGTGACAGGTTCACACAGGCCGGGCAGTGACCCGCACACCAGCCCTGCTGCCCTGCAGGCCAGTGCGCAGCCGGTCGCTGCTGCTGCTGTTGCCGCTGCCGCCGGGGCGGGCAGCCACGGACATGCGACTCATGGTGAGGTCACTTTCCACCTGCCAGTAGGTTACGAACACGGTTCTGCGCCTGGAAATGCGTTTATGTCTTTTTAGTGTAGCTTGTTTATTTATTTTTTAGATGTACATCTGCTTAAAAACTCACAAGAATAACACGGAACCTTGCGTGGAAACCACTTTCCAGTGCGTGGTTTGGTAGTGGGGCCAGCACTGTGCCCGCCCGCAGGACTGCCCGCCCTGCAGGCCTGGGCCTGCGTCCCCACTGATCAGTAACACCCGGCCCCCCAGTAATGGCCACCCTGTCGTTTCTCCGGGAGCCCCACTGCCCCAGCTCTCTCGTGTCAGGAGGCGCACACTCGTGTCCAGTAACCAGACACTCGGCTACGTGCGTGTGCCCCGTATGTGGGCCTGGAGATGGCCGTGCCGGCTGCAGCTCGGGGCCCTGGCCCCAGCCCTGGTGTGAGGTGTGCACTGCGCCCTGTGCGGACAGTGGTGTGTGTGACTGGTGACGCTAACGCACGCTGCCGGTGCCGCGCAGTCAGGACGTACTGGTTCCTGTCAGCCCGTCTGACGCTTGTCCCTGGAGTTCTGAGCCATCAGGCGACACCCCGGGCAGGTTCTTCTGGCCGTGCCCTCCCAGCACCCTGCCTGCCTGCCTGCCTCCGTTGCTCCCTCGAGACAGCCCATGAGCCACCGCAGGCCCTGCCCGCGCTTTCCCATGGGCGGGCCTGAGGCCTGTCTTCCTTGGCCTTGAGTGTGTGTGACGCAGCCCTTCTCCACCTGACACATGGGAACTGCTTTTATCCGTAAAGTGGAATGCGTGCCCAGAAATGCTTGAAAACTAGGGGCAGCCGAGTGACGAGGAAGCAGCACCCAGGTCACAGAGGGTGGTGCCAGTGCCGGGAGGCCCTCGGGCAGCGCCGACCCCCCCACCTTGTGCTGCGGTCTGGGCACGGGCTCCCGGAGCCTGGACGTCAGTTCCGGAGATGGAGTTGAGCTCCTGCTGTCTGTCGTCGCCTTCACTGACAAGCATCCAGAGCGCTTCATCGTGTACCGTGGGCCCGGCTGTGCTGCAGTGACCACAGCCTAGTGGCCTCGGGTGTGGGCAGGCAGGTTTTCAGGTGTCTGCTGCGCCCTAGTGAGGCTCTGCTGAGATTCCATTGAAAAGCCCAGTGCCTTTGTGTTGGGTCCCGATGGCTTCAAGTGCAGACCGTGTAGCGCTGTGCACAGTCATAGTGTGTGGCAGTGTGCCCCCCGCGTGTCCCCACCTCCCCCCAGAGTGGGGCTGCAGCGCGTGCGTGGGTGGGAAGTGGTGCCTGACACCCAGCAGTGTTTCACTTTCCCGCAGCGTGATCCTGGTGACAAGAGTCCTCGTTCTCGGGGACACTGCAGTGCTTGGTCTATGGAAAAGGCGTAGTTTTTGCAGAATCGGTGAAATGCCACATTGGTTAATTTCAGTTATATCTAAGCAGTTTCGGAGAAAAGTCAAATTAAAGCCATTATTTTTAGTCTTTAGTCCTAATTTTTTTCCACGTGGGAATACAGATTTTATGGTCTTAATTTTTGATGGTTTATTTTATAAATGCCACTTTTAGCTTTGAAAAAAAATCACGTAGTATCAAATATTCCTATAGTACATCTCATATAAAAACCTTGTTTTAAAGATAACTTCTTACACTTAGGATTTCAAAATGACAAGTTGACTCAGAGTTAGTGTCAGTTTATTCATTTTTTAAAAGGTTTTATTTATTTTTAAAGAGAAAGAGAAAGGGAGGGAGACTGAGAGGGAGAGGAAACTGGATCGGTTGCCTGTCATGTGCCCCCAGCTGGGAGCACGACCCAGGTGTGCACCCCGACTGGGAATCGAACCAGAGACCGCTGGCGACGCCCAGTCCACTGAGCCACACCAGTCACGGCCTGAATATTTTATTCAATCTCTGTTGTTTGGGGCTCGTTCCAGGTCGCAAAGGAGTTTGGCTTCCAGAACAACGGCTTCTCGGTTTACATCAATAGAAACAAGACTGGAGAGATAACCGCATCCTCCAACAAGTCCCTCAACCTGCTGAAAATCAAGTGAGTGCCCCTGGGGAGGACACAGGAGAGGGGACATGCCGACACCAGTCATCCACAGAGCCCACTCAACTCCAGTCTGCTTCCTCCTCATGCCATTCTTTTTTTAGAAATAGGTTTTATTTACTTTTAGATCGAGGGGGAGGGAGGAAGAGAGGGAGAGAAACATTCATGTGTGGTTGCCTCTCACGTACCCTACTGGGGACCTGGCCTGCAACCCAGGCCTACGCTCTGACTGGGAATTGGACCCTCAGCCTTTTGGTTTGTGAGCCGGCACTCAGTCCACTGAGCCACCCCAGCCAGCGCCTCCTCAGGCCACTCTTAATTCGTCCTCCCTGACCAGTGTGCAGGGGACTGCAGCTTTGCCAGGTGCTCAGCAGTCACAGGGACCCTGGTTGCCGTTGAGCCGGTTTGATGGATGTGCAGGACCCCGAGAGGCGTGTCGCTGGTCTCAGGCCGTGTGGGCAGCTGTGCTCTCAGCTGCTGCTCGGCAGGGCGTGGAGCCCTGTGCGGAGTCCGCCTTGGGACCCGCGGGGTCGGCAGGTAGCAGGGCCGCCTGCCCGCTGGTGGCCCATTGGCCACGTTGCAGTTCCTGCTGGTCAGACCACCTGGAGGGCCCTGGAGCTCATCGGTCTGGGCAGGAAGGCTCCCAGGGTGCACAGGCCTCTTGCTGCAGCCCACTACCCGCTTTGGTTGTGCGTGTGTTCCTGCTCTCAGGGCAGGGCCGAGTGGTGGCCGAGGCAGACCGGCCTGCGAAACCAGGCTCGTCTCCCACGTGGCTCCCTGCGGGGGCCAGCGGCCCCGCCTGCACTGTCTGGGCACCCTGCTCATGGCTCAGTGGGTGGGGCCCCTAGAGTGCGGCTGCCCGGCCCTGCTGCAGGTGCCGTGGCTGCCACTGGCCAAGTGCTGGGCCGGGCTGTGTGAGCCTGTAGGCAGTTGGAGCAGTAGGCAGTTGGGGCCCTTTGTGCGACCGTGTTTAGGAGCATAGAAGATTGCGCCTGCATTTCCAGTGGGATGAGGGTCCCTGTCCCTCCCAGCCTGTCTCTCCCAGCCTGTCCCTCCCAGCCTGTCCCTCCCAGCCTGGCCCTCCCAGCCTGGCCCTCCCAGCCTGGCAAGGGGTTTTGCCTCTGCAGATCCCTTCTCGTGAGCGTCCCGTGGGCTTGGGTCCTCGGTCCGCCACCCGCTGCTGTGCCCCTGGGTCTCACCGCTCTGTCTGCCAGGGCCGGCCCCGCCCTCCAGTGGTGGGCGCCTGGCTCCATGCAGTTTTGGGTGCGGAGCCTGCTCTGGGGGCTCAAGCCCTCGTCTGGTGGCCCCACCATGAGCCCCGTTCCAGGCCCCTGGGTGGGGCCCCAGAAGGCAGGTCCGAGCTGCGCTCCACCATTCGCCACTCTCGGCGCTCCTGTTGGAGTTGTGGGCTCCCGGGGCCTCCTCACTTTCTTTAGCGCTCAGTGGGGCACTTCAGAGAGCATTTGTGGAAGCTGACGTGGCAGCAGAGCTCGAGTCTCCAGTCCCTGCCACAGACGGAAGTCTCCGGTCGCAGTTGGGCGTTTTACCCAGAAAGATGGAAGGAAAAGGGGGGAACAGGTGCCCCGAGGGGTGGCGGCCCAGCCCCTGCGGCAGCCGCATGCGCTCCCCCGCGTTGCCCCTGCGAGTGGCTGGTTGTTGGAGAGTTTGGCTGTGAGTCACTTGGAGCCTCACGGAGGGGGAGGGGTCTGGTTACCTGGACGCTGGCAGAAAACCGAGCGCTGCGTTGGAGACGGCGCTCTGGCCGCCATCTGAAGGCAGCACTGGAGCGGCTTTGGAGACCAACTGACCCTCTGGTCCCACAGGGCCGGCGCCCCACAGAGGGAAACTGGGGCCGCCTGTCTCGGGGCCCTTCCTCCCAGGGCGTCCGCAGGGGGGCAGGCAGGGGCTGCAGTGGTGCGGCCCTCAGTGCGGAGCGTCACGCAGGCTGGCGGTCGGACGAGACCGTGTGTGGCTGGCTCTGTGGGGTGGTGTTGCGAAAAGCGTGTCTTTGGGAATCTCTTGTCCCACAGTGACATACGTGTACGTGTGGGGGGTGTACGGGGATACAGAGAACGACACGAAGGATGTGCTCTGGGCAGGCAGAACGCGGGGAGGTGACTGCGGGGGAACGAGGGAAAGTGTGAGCCGAGCAGAGAGCGGGAGGGAGGGAGCAGCTGCTTGCACACCCGGCCCTCGGCAGGCTGCTCTGCGGTCTGAGCAACGTGTTTGAACCGCCCGCCCACCGACGTGCAGAGTTTTCAGTGAACACAGACTGAGCTGACTGGATCGAAACAGTGTTTTCAGTCCGAGGCTGGGAATCGTGGATGTGGAGGGCCCGCGGCATCGCTCCGCACCGTCCTGTGTGAGGCCAGCCCCCGCCCCCCCCATCCTGTGCAGCCGGACCAGTGTGCAGGCGTGCGTCCCCGACAGTCAGGCCCGGCTGTGAGGGCCTGTCGGTCACGGGGACCCGGCTGCGGACCTGCGCAGCGCTGTGAGGCAGGGGTGGTGTGGGGCGGGGGTCCCGGATTCTGCGCAGTGGAGACCACGTTTCTCAGGCCCCCAGCGCGGCTCGCGTCTGCTGCGCAGACATCGTACACTCTCGCCGAGCGGGGGCTGCGGCTGACGTCCGTTGTTCCGCAGGCATGGGGATTTGCTGTTCCTGTTCCCCTCGAGCCTCGCCGGGCCCTCGTCGGAGATGGACACGTCCGCCCCGCTGCGGCTGAAGGCCCTCAGTGCTCCCAACGTGGTGGAGGACGAGATTGACCAGTACCTGAGCCGGCAGGACGGGAAGATTTACCGGAGCCGCGACCCGCAGCTGTGAGTGCGGGGCCCAGGCCTGGGCGGGACGCGTCCTCGAGGGGCCGGTCGCAGGGGGCTCTGATGGAGGCCTGGGCTCCCCTCTGGTTTGGATCCCAAGAGCGCGTGCCCCGTAGACTTGAAAGAAGGAGGCTCCTTAAACCAGGTCCTTACCTCCAGGTGCTCCTGGAGAGCCCTGACTGTGCGCAGGGAGCTTCAGAAAGTGACAGACGGGATGGGGGAGGGGTGGGAGTGTGACACCTGGCTGCCCACTTGGGCAAGGTGCTCGCCCGTCACCTCACGTGGGGACGGTGGAGCAGGACGGTGTGCGTGACTTTAGATCCACTCCCTTCCACTTGTGGGTGGCATCATTTTAAGGCCTAATACTCAGAAGTGACAGGTTGGATCTGCTGGTCGTTTTTTTTCTAACATCAGAGTTACCTGAGCCATTAGAAGCGTTGGCCACGTGCTGCCTGAACTCCCTTCAGTTAGTGCATGTGCAGGTCATGTGCGCCCGAGGCGGTGGCAGCAGAGCAGGCGTGCTGACCGGCGTGCTCCTCTCCGCCCCGTGTCTCCTCAGGTGCCGGCATGGCCCGCTGGGGAAGTGCGTGCACTGCGTCCCTCTGGAGGTGAGTCTGCAGGTACCCCCTGCCCCCACGGCCCCTGAAAGCTGGCCCCAGCGCCCCGCGCGGGCCATGATGGTCAGAAGAGCCCCTCTGGTTGTCACCCCAGACCCCGGACCCTGCACAGAGGCAGCCTTTGAGTGCGGCTGTGGCCTTCTGGGTGGGGTGTGAACGGCTCAGGCGTTTGTGTCTTGGTGATAAAGGGCCATGTTTGCTGAGGGCTCCCGGGACGGCTCTTTCAGGCTGGCACGGAGCTGGGTGTGGCGGTTCTGTGCTCACCACTGTCTTGATGTGCTTCGCCCTGGTCTGCTGCTGGTTTGGTGATGCTGAGAGTTACCATGGTAACGCTGACTGGTAACTGGCTAACGCCGACTTCGCGGCAGAAGGGCCGATCCGATTTCCTCCATGAGGGTCCACTGGCTTCATCTTATAACTTCCTTTTCCCACAAAGTGTTCCCAGTATTTACCGGACCCAGAGCCTTTTACGTTTAGGAGAGCTTCAGTTTCCATTTCCATCCTGGAAAGATACCCAGCATTCCTAGAAGAGGCTGGTTCTGGCCTGGAGTGGCAGTGAGAGCCCCCTGCCCCTCTGTCCTTGCTCCACGGGCCGGGCCTCCCTGTGCCTTGGGAGCGTGGCCCCCGCCTGGCGGCCTCCCCAGTGCGTGACCAGCCCCTGTGTTTCGGCAGCCGTTTGACGAGGACTACCTAAACCACCTCGAGCCGCCCGTGAAGCACATGTCCTTCCACGCCTACATCCGCAAGCTGACTGGAGGGGCCGACAAGTAAGTGGCCGAGCGCGGTTGGCACGCAGGAGTCTGTTCTGTGTGTGTGGCAGGTGTCACTGAAAGCCACTGAGCCTGTGAACAGGAAAAGTGAAGATCGGGGTCGGGGCCCAAAGCGCCTGAATTCACAGATTTGGTGACTGTTAAAAAGAAACCAGTGGGCGGAAGCTCTGGTTCCCGACTTTGCCCATGGCGCCCTGCTCAGAGCTGCCAGGCCTGTGCTGGCCGCAACGGGGGTCCCCAGGGACTCCCCGACCCCGTGTGAGGGCAGGTGAGACGAGGCTTGGTGGTGGCCCGTGTGTCTGTCCTTGACACTTTTCCTCTGATCTTTGGAAAGACAGGCTCCCCACGGTCCTGTCAGGCGGCCGCCACCAGCCGCTGGCCCAAAATCGAGTGGCTTGCCTGGAACCTGGAGTGGGGCAGCCTGGCCGACGTGGGGCAGCAGCGCACCCGTGGGCCGGCCTTCCCTGGAGAGCGGGCCGTGGCAGTGGCCAGAGACAGCACCCGTGGGCCTCCTTTTGATTTCGGTCAGACACGTGCCTGCGTGACCCCTTCTGCTGACTGCACGCTCACCGTGCCAGAGTGGCGGACCTCACCCCGTGACTCGGTGACTCCTGCTGGAGCGGCGAGAGGCGATGGCGGTCAAAGCTGCCTCAGCGGCCTCTTGTGAGGGGCGTGATCCAGTCCCGGTTTTCCGCTGACGGCCCGCTGACGGGCCGAAATGACTTTAGAAAACCTTAGACCAGGAGGGAAAAAATCACACCAGAAATTCATTCTTGCCTGTTGGTGGGATAAGCTGAGGAAGTTTCTGCACCAGGGGTGACTCCGTCCGCCTCTCTTCAGTCTGGGTTAAGGGCCATAGTCTCGGGGGAGGCACATTTGTGGCTGTCAGTGACGTGCGGACAGACGTGGCGGTCACAGCTCCCAGGTGCCATCGGAGGGGCGTGCTGCCAGCCCGTGCAGCTGCGATGGCACGTGTGGGCTGTCGTGCAAGCGGAGGGCTGGCCGCGGGTCCCGCCCACGTCTGCGGGGCGTGCACACTTCCACCCGCAGCCTCCTAACCACAGCTCTGCCCAGGCTGAAAGCAGAGTGAGGGCACCTTTGCTGCGTGTGCCGAGTCAGGCTCCCCGTGAGCGAGGGCTTCTCAGAGACACCGTAGCACGGGGCCCACAGCGGGAGTGTTGCTGGTGACCAGTGCTGTGTTCCCTGCAGGGGCACGGGTTAGCTCACAGGCGTTTATCAGGGGGTTTTAAGAATTTTTTAAGCCCTGGCTGGTGTAGCTCAGTGGATTGAGCATGGGCCTGCGAACCAGATGGTCAAGGTTCAATTCCCAGTCAGGGCAATGCCTGGGTTGCAGGCCAGTTCCAAGCAGGGGACTCACAAGAGGCAACCACACATTGATAATTCTCTCCTTCTCTCCCCCTCTAAAGATAAATGAATAAAGTCTTTAAAAAAAAAAGAAATTTTATTTTTTCTTAATTTGTCGATCTTTTTTCTTTGCGGTTTCTAGGTTTTTAAAAAGTTTTTAAGGTTCTATTTATTTACTTAGAGGGAAAGGAAGGGAGGGAGAGATGAGAGAAACATCAGGGTGTGGTTGCTTCTCGTGGGCCCCTTCCTGGGGACCTGGCCCCCAACCCAGGCCTGTGCCCTGACTGGGAGCTGAACCAGCGACCTTTTGCTTTGCGGGACAGCACCCAACCCACTGAGCCACAGCGGCCGGGGCTCGACAGTGTTCCTGGGGATCCTCACAGGTGTGAGTGGCCGGCAGTGAGGATCGGAGTGGCTTTTACGGGATGGCGGGCGGGTGCCGCTGTGGGCCGAGGTGCGGGACGGTCGGGGCCCCGTCAGGAGCCTCGTGCCCGTCCTCTCCCTGCCGCTCCTTCGTGCTGTGTCCAGAGCCGTGAGAGGTCCGCGTGTTTCCAGTTTCCTGCCAGGTGTCTCACCTCGTCACGTTTAATTAAGTTGCCTCTCGTTCAGGGGGAAGTTTGTTGCCCTGGAGAACATCAGTTGCAAGATTAAATCGGGGTGTGAGGGACACCTCCCGTGGCCCAATGGCATCTGCACCAAGTGCCAGCCCAGCGCCATCACGCTGAACAGACAGGTGAGCGCCCCTGTGGTGGGGACCGCAGGGCGGGCTGGTTTCCGTGGTGGAGAAGCGGCATCGCCTTGGGGAGGGGCCGCCGCTCATGGGGCACATGGTGTGCGGCGGTGGCGCACACTTCTGACCGGCGGATGGACCTGCTGAGGGTCCTACACTGAAGACAGGCTTTGCGAGACCTCCAGCTCCTGGCGCAGGGCGGGGCGTCAGCGTTCCGCTCCGCTGGCCTGTGCGCAGGCAGACTTCTCCTGGTGTCTGTCGGAAATGCTCAGTGTCTGTGGCTGTGCCGTCTGAGAAGCCGTGTCTCTGGACACTTGCGAAGCACTGCCCTGGGCCAGCCAGGGCACCTGTCCAGGCCAGGTTCGGAAGGGAGCTGGGCTGAAGGAGGAGGGAGAGAGCCGAGGAGGACGGCCCTCGTCTCTCTGGTCATTTCTTCTCCGAGGCCCGGCCCCCAGGGAGCTGCCAGGCCAGTGGCCCTGCGCCTGTGGCTGCGCCTCGGAGAGTCCACGGTCTCCTGGGCCATCAGGAGCCCTTCTTCCTTCTCCTTCCCTCCTTCCTTCCATCTCTTTCTCGTTCTCTTTCCTTTTAAGAACTGTTTTCCCTTCTAGAGCTTTCGAAAACCTCCGTTTTTGGCGGAATTTCAGTAAGATTAAGTTAATGTATTGAGGGACCCACCTGCACCCCGCCTGCCCCCAGACTCTGGGGGGGGGTCTCCCAGGCAGCGCGTGCTCTGCAGGCGTGTTTGTGTGAAGAGCCGGCGCCAGCTGTTTACCGCCCCCCCCCCCCGTGTGGCGGTTTAGTCAGCACCGCCCGCTGAACTCCGTGTGGGCACGCGTGCCGCTCTGACTCTGACAGCTGTGCTCACCCGGCCTGCCCGCCACTGTTGACTCTGCAGAAATACAGGCACGTGGACAACATCATGTTCGAGAACCACACGGTGGCCGACCGCTTCCTGGACTTCTGGAGGAAGACGGGGAACCAGCATTTCGGGTACTTGTATGGCCGCTACACGGAGCACAAGGACATTCCTCTGGGCATCAGGGCCGAGGTGGCCGCCATTTACGAGCCTCCCCAGGTGGGTCTGCCGCTGGGCGGTCTCTCCCTCCTCTGTCCTGCCGGTGCGCCCTTTCCGGTCCCAGCTGCGCCTGCTTTGTCCTTGCCCAGTCGGTCCATCTGTCTGTGCACACAGACACACACGCTAGCTCATTTTCTGAATTATGGAAGGAGTGAGATCATGGCCCCCAAATATCTCAGGGTGTTTCCAAAGAATAAGGATCTTCTCTCATGTGACCAGTTATCAACTCCAGCGAGTTGAACATTGATACCACCTTGTTCTCTAACCTGCCGTCAACTGCCCCCAAAGGGCCCTACATCACTCCTCTCTGTTCCGAGGACCTGTGTGCCCCCCATGCCTGTGTCAGTTCTCCCTGGAGTGGTGGGAGCAGAGGGTCACAGAGCCACCCGGGCCTCACACTGGGCCACACATGCAGCTTGGCCAGAGTGGGACCACCTCCCCGCAGGGCGCAGCATCTGTTACTGTGTATTTTTTTTAAGATTGCATTTACTTACTTTTAGAGAAGGGAGAAGAGGGAGAAAGAGAGGGAGAGAAACAGTGATATGTGAGAGGTACAGCAATCAGGTGCCTCTCACACGCCCCCAACTGGGGACCTGGCCTGTAACCCAGGCATGTGCCCTGACTGGGAATGGAACTGGCCACCCTTTGCTTCGCAGGCTGGCGTTGATCAGCTGAGCCACACCAGCTGGGCGTTTACTGTGTCTTAAGGTTACGTGGAAGGTCCTCTGTGTATGTTGATGCCATCAGCCGGTCACAGTTACGTGCACGCGCGTTACTTTCAGTGTCAGAGGCTCTGGTTTCATGCAGTGTGAGCACAGGAGCGCTGGGCGGTGGTGCGCGCTGCTTCGTGGTTTCCCGTGAGACATGGCGAAGAGTGAGGTGGACGGAGGGGAGGCCGGAGGGGTGATAGGGCACGGGGGCCGCTGACGGCTGAGCTAGGTACTGGGATGCAGGTGTTCCCGTGACGTTCTGTAGACTGCTACACGTGTGACATCTTCCCTGAAAACAATGTTCAGGAAGAGAGAATGCGTGTTTCTGAAGTCGACCCACAGACAAGGGGTTCATTCCCTTCTGTCCTCCTCCCTTCCTTTGCAGGTGGCGCCGCCTGCACACGTAGCTCCAGGGCGGACTCCCAAAGTCTGGTTTTTGAGGGCAGGCTGGCGCGCACACAGGTGCCGCTCCTGGCCTGCAGCTCTGAGGGTCTGCCCCGGACCTGGCACGCCTCTGCCCGCTGCGTGTGTTCTGAGCGCACCCGGACGGGCTGGCTCATAAGGGAACCAGGGCCTGGACCTGCAGGCTGCAGGCCACTGGCTGGCCTGTGGGTCTGTGGCTGCAGCACAGATGCCAGGGTCTCCCTGGCGGCTTGTGCAGATTCCGAGTGCAGCCTCACTCCGCCCGGTGTTGTTTGCCGAGAGCTGCAGAGGAGGGAAGCACTTAAAAGGGTCACTAGGGGGCAGCAGGGAGCCCACCAGGCAGAGCAGCTCTGGGCGGCTGATGGGGAGGCTCCCGTGCAGGCGCTGGGCGCTGAAGTTCAGTGTGCAGGGCCGGTGGCCAAGAGCTCCGCCCTCCGTTGAGTGGGAAGGAGCAGAAAATCGGCCCAGGCAGCCCTGGTGCCCAGAGTGCTCACAGCATCACCAGAGCCCCAGTCGGCTCCTGAAACCTCCAGCTTATTAGAAGTCGGAGCTCATGCTGCCGCCTGCTGCGAAACAAGACCCTCAGGCTCGTCCTGAGGCGGCATCGAGCCCCAGCTGGGCCACACCATCAGGAGCCAGACCTGCCGTGCTTTCTCGGGAATGGGACTTGTTCACAAGGGCAGACCCTACCTCGCCTCCATGTCCCACTTCGGGGGCGCGGCCCTGCGCTCCTCTGAGTGACCGTGGCTGCCGCTGCAGCGAGCGCCGCCCACTGCAGGCCCCTGCGGTCCGCGGTCTGAGGCTGCCTGTGAGCCAGCCAGACCCGAGCCCACCACCACCGAGCACTCTGCTGCCGCCTGCCAGCAGGGTGCCGAGTCAGGACGCCTCCGCGGGCTGCGCAGGTCTGTCTCTGCCTCTCTGAGGACCTTGCCTGGGAAGCTCCCCCTGTCCCCGCACGGCCTTCCCTGAGGTGTTTCCTGGGAACGAATGTCACCACCCAGCGCTGCTCCCGCCTCAGCTCTCCCAGCCTGGCGAGAGGGAGGCTACCTGGGTGTGCCGGGGAACGCCCTCCGTCCCCCTCGGGGGGGCCCTCACTTCAGACGCCGCGCAGAGCACCCTCCTCTGTCCCTGGCGCCCACCCTGGCTGTGGAGCTGTGACGTCGCATCTCTGTGCTCCTTGTGGTGACCGGAAGCCGCCCGAGAAAGATGAATCTGAGCAGCTTGGGTTTCTGCTGCTGCCCCGTTCCTGCTCGGGGACCCTGTGCTCCCTCGAGGCGCTGGGGCCGGACAGGGTACGGCGGTGGGGGCCGTGCACCGACCTGGGCCCCCTCTCTAAGTCTGTCTCCCTGTTGCGGTCCGCAGATTGGAACACAGAACAGCTTGGAGCTGCTCGAAGACCCAAAAGCCGAGGTGGTGGATGAAATCGCTGCCAAACTCGGCCTGAGAAAGGTACGGCCCTCGGCAGGGCCTGGGTTCTGCGTGGGGACGTCCAGGTGGGGCCGTGGCCAGGGCCCCCCCCCCCGCCCTGGACTGAGGGCCCAGCTGCCTGTGGTCAGGTGCAGGCCGGCAGCTCTGCAGCCTTGTTTGTGTCTTTGGTTGCCGGTAGCTTTTATGTTTTTCATTTTTCCTCTCTTAAAGATTTTACTTATTTTTGGAGGGGAAGGGGAGAAAGGAAGAGAAGCATCAGCATATGGTTGCCTCTCATGCGGCCCCTGCAGGGGACCTGGCTCACAATCCAGGCATGTGCCCTGACTGGGGATTGAACCTACGACCCTTTGGTTTACTGGCTGCACTCAATCCACTGAGCCACACCAGCCAGGGCTATGTTTTCCTCATTTAAAGTAAAATGAGAACATTTCCCTGGGCATGAAATACACGGTCCCAGTGCAGGGCCCATTACACTTAAGTCTGCCAGCCGCGCTGAGTGGGGACGGCTTTGAGCCGAGGAGGGGACAGCACAGCGAGAGCCTGTCTTCTGCCCGGGGGCCGCAGGGCCAGGCTGTCCTGCCACCCGCGGCGGCACACCCTTTGGCGTGCGCTGCTCCCTCGTGGGCCTTCGCCGCCTCCAGCCTGGCCTGTGTGGGGTCCACGTTCTGCCTGCGCCTCAGAGCAGGGGTTTCAACCCCTTGGGTGGTCGCTGAATCCCTGGCTCCTAGTGAGGGTCCAGCACACTGGCCCCCGGTGTTGTGGGCAGTGAGAAGTCGGGGGAGGGCTGCGGTTGCCTCCGTCCTTGGCCAGCTGTCCCGGAGCTTTCACGGTGGGCCTCCCCTGCCTGCTGAACGGGGAGCTTGGACGTGTCTTACGTGTTCAGCATCGGGCGCCGTGTGAGCTTTCCCTGGCACTTCCCGAACTGCGTAGACTGGGAAGTGCGTCCCTTCCCGACAGTGGGTAGCGGCTGGAGACGTGTGCTCCAACCGGGGTCAGCGCGCTGCTCCACTGTCGCCGTCCCCGTCACAGGAAAGAGGTCCTACTGGGTCTGGTGGTGTTGGCCTGTTCATTGAGGTTGCACATCTGTTGAAGCTCCGGGAGCTTCTCTTGGCACGGTCTGTGCCGTGCGTGTGCAGACGCCCAGCGTGCAGCCGCTGTGGCCCTGAGAGAGGGTCGAGGTTGCCCAGAGGCCTTCTCCACACCAGCCGCGTCTCTCCCTGGAGGACTTTGCTTCTCCTCCGCTTGGTGCTGAGCTTCGTCTGTCCTTTCGTCTTGTTTTCTGCGTTGCCAGCCTCCTTGTGTTTCTCACTCATCTGGGCATTTCCAGGGACAGTGTGGGCATCCAGACTTGTCCGACCCCCGACCGCTTCTCCGGGAGACGGAGTGGATGTGCCGGGGTTCCGGCCCCACTCAGGAGGGAGCCGAGAGCAGGGCCTCCTTTAGGAAGGCTGGGAGGCTCGTGGGCGTGGGGGATGGGGCCCGGGGCCACAGAGCACACAGACTGCCACTGCCACTGCCGCAGGACACTTCGGGGAGGCCGTCCTGCCCCGAGCCGGGGGGCCGCCTGAGGGTGCCCTGGTGTCGGGCATCCCACACCCCGTGCCCTCTGGCTTTTCCCTCAGCTGCGCGGGCCCGTGAGTGCTTCCTCTCGGCCGTGCAGGCCGTCACGGGTGTCCCGCTCCCACTCTTGGCTGCAGGGTCCTGCCCCCGGCGCCGGGCGTGGGCTTGGCCGACACTTCCGTGAGCTCTGCACATCTGTCCTCCTGGCCGACCCGGCAGCACCAGGGGTGGGGGGGGTCCCTGTGAGCTGCGCTGCATGCGGCGGCCGGCTGTGTCCTGGCCACTCGGGGAGCGTCTGAGGAGGGTCCGCAGCTCTCTGGACAGAGGCCAGGATGCGCCACCTGTTCCGGGGAGAGGCTCAGAAGGTGTTTTCCTTTGTTGTGCAGGTTGGCTGGATATTCACAGACCTGGTCTCAGAGGACACCCGGAAGGGTACAGTCCGGTACAGTCGGAACAAGGTGAGGGGCAGGCGGCACGCTCGCCTGCGGCCAGTTCTGGAGTCGGCTTCAGGAGCAGGTCATTGCCAGCATTTGTCCAGGGTCCTTGATAAATCAGGCCTGGGTCTGCTGACCCTGTCTTGGAGAGCGAAGCCCCCCTGACCTATGCAGACCGGGGTTTTGGAGGACCGCTCTGGGGTGGACGGCGGCGGGCTTCTGGCCTTGCTAGTTGCTTGCAGGATTTTTATTGTAGTGCATTTATTGGGGTAATACTAGTTAGTAAAATTGTACAGGTTTCTTTAGATTTTTTTTACTTATTTAGTTTTAGAGGAGAAGAGAGGGAGAAAGAGGGGAGGAGAAACTGTGTGGTTGCCTCTCACACGCCCCCTACTGGGGACCTGGCCCGAAACCCAGGCATGTTCCCTGACTGGGAATCAAACCAGCAACCCTTTGGTTCACAGGCTGGCTCTCAGTCCACTGAGCCACACCAGCCAGGGCAGGCCATCTGTTCGTTACATCGCAAGCCAAGTGTCCTTCGTGAGGCTTACACTGGGGTCACAGAGGCCAGGAGTTGTCAGCCGTGGCTTCACCCTGGTCTCGGACGTCTTGTTGTCGAGTCCTTCGCGTCCTCTGAGGAAGCACTGAACTCTCTCCCCAGGACACCTACTTCCTGAGCGCAGAGGAGTGCATCACCGCGGGCGCCTTCCAGAACAAGCACCCCAATGTCTGCCGGCTCTCTCCCGACGGCCACTTCGGGTCCAAGTTCGTCACCGCAGTGGCTACAGGTGCAGCCAGGCCGTCGTGTTGCGGGTGTTCCTGGCGGCTCGTGTTCTCTGCTCCCCTTTCAGCCGCTGTCCGTCGCCGACTGAGCGAGTGGGCCCGCGGGACGGGGGCTGCTCCTTCCGGTTTGTGGTCACCTCCTTCACGTGTTGGCCCCGCTCAGGGAACGGCTGGACCCGGCCTCCGCACAGCCCCCCTCCCATCCACTCTCGCTCCAGGGCCAGGCCCCCGGGCCGGCCTGCACTCGGGACCACCTCCGCCCTTCCCAGTAGCTGGCCTCGGCCAGCGCTGCGGGGCAGAGGCATTCGCTGGCTTTGTTGCTGGCTCATTTTTGACATCGTGCATGGAAGTGCCATTGAGGACATCATCTCCCTGAAGTTTTCTGGGGCGACCCTGTGCAGTTGCACGTGCACCGGGTGTGTGGTGATGAGAGACCGGTGTGCGAAGCGGTGACTCCAGTCCTGCCTCGCGTGCTTGAGCGGCCGCCCTAGGCAAAGCTGGCAGGGACCGCGCAGTTTACAGGGGGTGGGGACTTGGCACCTGGAGGGCCAGCGCAGGCGAACGCAGTCCGGTCGGTTTCTGCGGCACGAACACTCCCTCCGTCCTGTGCAGACCTGGCGTCTCCTCTCGGGGCGCTGACTGTCCGGGTCGCGCTTGGTGGCCAGCCTTCCCCTAGCTCTGTAGGGAGTGGCACCGCCCCCGACCCACCCTCTCAGTTTCAAACACCAGTGTACAAACGGGGGCGTACAAGTAACTAGACCCCCAGGGGCCTGTGCCAGTGCTGGGGGCCGCGAAGCAGCGCCTGCTCCGCTCCCCGAGGATGGGCGCCTTTGTCCCCGGAGGGGCTTCTGGGCTCAGGAGCTGGGGCAGGACCTCTCCCGGGTCTGCACGCACCGCTCGAGTCGGTCTTTGTGCCACGTGTCATTGGGTCCGGTGTCTCAGGGCGGGTGGCGGTTTCGGTCGGGATTTGGGGAGGCCTGTTTCGCAGCTCAGAGTCCTTCCCAGAGGGCGTCCTGGGCTGGGCTGTGGTGATAGGGACCCTCGGGGCAGCGGCCTCAAGGCCAAGACCAGGTGCCAGGAAGGGAGCAGAGACGGTGCAGCCACGCGGTCCGGAATCTGTCCCAGCCAGCAGGGTCTTTGTGCCCCAGGCCACCTCACCCCTCCGCCGCGTCCGGGTGTGTCTGCTGGTCCTCCCACCTGTGTGTGAGGCCGGGCCCCTTCTTTCTGGAACAGCGTGTGACTCACTCCACCTGCAGAGACGGCGCTCGCCGCTGTTCTGCCGGCACTCGTGGTCCTGAGAAGGGAAGCAGCGCTGTCGCTGACGGGGACACGAGGTGGAGGCTGTGAGGAGACATGACGGGCAGCGCGTCCCAGCCCGTCTGTGCTCTGGCTGCCGCCTGACCAGGGCCGCGCAGTGGACGGGCCAGAGCTGCCGACTGAGGGGACGGGCTGACCGCCTCCCGTGACGGCCTCCTGAGACGCTCGTGACCCTGTGCAGCCCTGTGCGCGGCAGCCCAACCCCCAGTCCCCGCAGCGGTGCCCTCCGAGTGTTCGCCGTGGAGGGCAGCTGCACCTGCTGTGTGGCTGCACCGGAGCGACAGTGTGGACGTCCTCACCGGGCAGGGCCGTGGGCAGGAGTGTGGGGCCGTCCGAGGCCCTGTGGCTGCGGGGTGGCTGTGGTGTGGGCCCTCCTGACCCTGCGAGGCGGCCTCGGCTTCGACTCCAGCTGCTGACCCTTTGCCGCCCCGCCGAGTGGCCAGGGGCTGCTCTCCGCACCTCCAGAGTGCTCCCTGCCCCCCTGGGGCGGCCTGGCCCTTCGGGGGACTGACCCAATGGGCCGCTGGCATGTTTTTAGAATTGTAGCTGGTTTCAAGCTTGGGACCACCTTGTAGCTTCAGCTACTGGGCTCCTTTGTTGAGAGTTTGGAAACTACACATTGTGAAGTTTTTCCCTGTGAAACGTTTGAGAGTCAGACAGGTGGAATTGGGGCTCCCTCATCTGTAACTTACTCTGTTTTTGTCAAAGAAACTGAAATAGAGATGGTGACGGGCAAGTTCCCTAAAGCCATAAAATGCTGTGGTGGGAGTAGGGCCGGGCCCTGGGAGTGCATGTGTGTGGTGGTGGGCGCCGGCCACCAGCACGCTCTCCTGGGGTCTCTCTGCCCACGGGGCGCCCACGCAGCGACTCTGCAGTCAGCCGTGTCTCTCGTCCCAGCCCCCCTGGAGCGGTCGTGGACGGGTTCGGAGGGGCATGGAGGGGGCCGGGCGTGTGGTGAAAGCCCTGCCCTGGGCGGAGCCTGTGGCCCCTGACTGTGGCGGCCACGCAGGTCTCTACGGAGACTTGAGCACTGCCGTCATTCTCACTGAGGGCGGCTCCTGTCCCACCCTCCCCCTCCTCACCAGTCTCCACTGTCTCCAGACCAGTCCCTCCCACTCACTTGGTCACTGAAAACCCAGAGCCTGAGTCCCCAACGCTGATCAGCGTCAGGCAGGGGTTGCAGAACGGTCACCGGTCTCGCTTCTCCGTTCAGCAGGACCGTGGCCTCGGTGGCTGAGGTGCTGCAGCTGCGCCTCATCCTGCTCAAGCCACTCGCAGCGCTGCCATCGAGCAGGCCTGAGCTCCGGGCCGCAGCCGTCACCTGCAAGGGGGGCAGGGCAGGGCAGGGCCTCCGCGGTGCTCACGGCGTCTCTCTCTTGCAGGCGGTCCGGACAACCAGGTGCACTTCGAAGGCTACCAGGTGTCCAGCCAGTGCATGGCGCTGGTCCGGGACGAGTGCCTGCTGCCCTGCAAGGACGCCCCCGAGCTCGGCTACGCCAAGGAGTCCAGCAGCGAGCAGTACGTGCCCGATGTGTTTTATAAGGTAACAGCACAGCGGTGCGGAGGCTTCGAGTGGACAGAGGACGGTGTGCACGCCGGCCGGCCTGGGCCTTGTGGTGCGGGGGCCTTCTGGCCACGTGGGCCCCTCTCCGGTCGGCCTTAGGCGTCTGGGGTCCAGCTTGAGGGCACAGGCGTCCCATCGCAGGTCGGAGCTCGGTGGGTCCTGTACGTAGGGCCAGGTGGGGACACCGCTCCCAACCACTGCGGCACAGACCGCTCCGGTCTCTGGGCCTGAGGCGGTGTGTGTGCGGTCAGTGGCCAGGCCATCCCGAGGGCGCCCCGGTGTCAGTGGACAGTTCAGACACGTGCCTGTCCGTTCTGGCCTTCGTTTTGTGGACGAGCTGTAGAAACTGTTGGGAGACGCCGTCTGGGCTGAGCAGGCTCTGTGCCTCCTGGCAGGACCAGCGGCTCCGCCCCATCCTCCCTGCTCACGACAGAGGTGCCTGCCTGCGCCCCCCGGCTTGTCTGCCACGGGTCCTCGTCTTTCTCGGCACAGGGCGGATTCCCCGTGTCTGAACAGCATCTGGTCTGCACTTCTCAAGGCCCTTTGTGCTGTGGGAGGACTTGTGGGTGGAGGTGGCTCCACACCACCCAGCTCACAGTTCCCACTGGAAGTTCCTTGGTCCGCAGTGCGGCTCTGCCGGGCGCCTGGCCTGTGCTCCCTGGACCCAGAGTGTTGGTGCTTGGACGGCGATGAGCCTGGGGCTCAGACGCTTGTGTCCTGGGTCAGGCTTGTCGAGCCACCTGGTCGGTGGGGCGCTGGCACCGTCTTTGGGTCGTCGTGTTCGCCTGCCGTCCTGAAATGGCTGCAGGCCCTGTGGCTGCGGCACCAGAGCCCTGCACGTGGGGGCCGGCAGCTGCACAGCTGCCAGCCCGCCTGTGGGCACAGCTCTGCTTCCCCTGCGGGGAGGGGCTGGTGCCGAGGGAGCACAGCCGCCAGCACGGCCTGGGCAGGGCTCCGGGGTGTCCACCGGGCCGCCCAGATGCCCCCGGGGGGCGTCTCCGATTTCGAGGTCGGCTGATGAGCAGCCTTTGTTAGGTCTACACTGGCCCTTGTCACGCAGGGTCGGTCCTGGCACTTTGCGTTTCTGAGCGTTATAAATGGCACCTGTTTGTGTTGCAAACTCTTGCTTTTTGAAACTTTGCCGTCACTCATTCCTCTTACTTATTTTTTCAGTCCTTAGCAGAGGATGTGTTCGTTGATTTTACTTATTTAATTTTTTAAAAGTTCCACTTACTGTCCTTTAGAGAAAGGGGAAGGGATGGAGAAAGAAAGAGAGAAACATCAGTCTGTTGCCTCTCAGATGCCCCAACCAGGGATCAAACGGGCAGCGTTTTGGTGAGCGGGGTGACGCTCTAGCCCACAGGGCCCCCTGGCCGGGGCACGCGCCCCCGAGCGTCTCGTGCGTGCTCCCCCAGCCTTCCGCACAGACGGCACCCTCCCACCCCAACCAGCGGAGCCCCTCGAGCTGGCCCGGCGGCCCCCGCAGCGTCCAGGGTGCGGCCGTCTCAGCCTGCCCTCCGTGCGCTCAGGGCATTGTTACTGAGTTTGCTGTGTGTGTGCGTGCCGCCCTCGATCAGGTTGGAAATTGCTTTTTCTCTCCATGTCTGGCTGTGAGTTGCTTGTGCATTGCCGTGGAACCTGTGTAACTTCCTCGGTCGCGCTGCTGTCCCTCTCAGTGGCCTGCCTGCCTGTTAGCGAGAGCCGCGCCCGACACGCTCCTGGGCAGCTCGTCGACCGGGTGGCTTGGCCACAGGGAAGCCGGCCTGACTTCAGTGCACGAAGTGCACCTAGTCTGACCTGCACTCGGACGCGGGGCCCGCTGTCCCCATGGGGTTCTCAGAGGTGACGACGCCACGGGCAGTCCAGTGTCGGGCGGTAGGTGGCAGCGCACTGGCGGTGGGCTGTTGACCACCCGGTGTGTGTTTGAGAACCGTTTAAAGGTGCAGTGTGAGATGCATGGTGTTGGGTGGAAAACGCGTCTGGGTGCTCGCTTTTAAGTGTGTTTGAGGACACGTGCCTCTGCCCCTGCAGGCATGTCCTGTCCAGCAGGGTGGCGCTGCCAGGCTGGGTGCGTCACGCAGCCGGTGAGACAGGGCCACGGGCGCCTTTTGTGCCACTGGGGACGCCTGTGTGTGCAGTGTGAGAAGCGCAGTGCAGGTTCCCTGCGCACGTTTGGGCTGCAGGCGTGGGCTGTGCCCTTCACACCACACATGTGACCCCCAGCACTGAGGCCCACGTGACCTGTGTCCCTGCAGTCCCTGCAGCCCAGTGTGAAGGGGACAGATTTCATGGTGAGCACTGTTTGTGCCCAGCACAGCGCCCTCTTTTTTTTTTTCCTTTTTTAAAAACCGTGTTTACTTACTCATTTTTGAGAGAGGGTAAGGACGGGAGAGAAACTGACTGGCTGCCTCATGTGAGCCCATCTGGGGGCCTGCCTGCCCCCAAGGCAGCCGCGCTGACCAGAATCAAACCGGCAACCTCCTGCGTTGCAGGCCTCGAGGGCCAAGGCCCTTCCTCCGTCTCTGCTGTGTCCCTGCAGTCGCTGTCGCCGTCGCCCAGGACGAGTGAGCGTGTCCGCCACACGTGTGGCCCGGTCCTCGTGCATCTTGTCTTCCGCTGCCGGCCCCTCCGGCTGTTTCTGGGACTTGCGAGGACGTCCTGCAGCCGCCCTGGCTGGGGCGGGCAAGGGTACAGCCTGCAGTCCTGACGTGGACCCTGATTGTGGCTGTAGGGCGTGGGGTCCCACAGTGTTGGAGGGACATGCGCCTCAGTGGGGCTCCAGACACGGAGTGCGCACCCTGGAGGCTGAGCCAAGAGTGGGTGAGCCGTGGGCATCGCGTGGTGGCCTGGGCCTCGGTGGACAGTTCGCATCCAGGCCGTGCGGGTTCCAGGAGGAGCCGGGGGACCTGGCTGCAGCAGACGACTCGGGAAGAGTGGGCTGTGGTGGAGGCTGGCAGTGGCAGTGCTGGTGAGGGTGGTGAGGTCAAGGTGGCTCCCCACACCCACACGGTGCCCCCGGGGCAGGCGTGGGGCCGGGAGGGACCGGCTCCCACCGCTCTCTGCCCTCCGGCTGTGGAGCCCAGGCGCCCGACTCCTCCAGCCGGGGCCCCGGCGGTCCTGTGCTCCTCAAGGGGTCTGGCCCGGTCGGCGCTGGTTCTGTTCTCTGACGAGACACTTCTGCAGGCGCTCTGGGTCTCGTCATCCTGACTGTCCCCAAACGGGATTCTTCGTGAAGCTGAGCTGAGACCTTCCTCTCCATTTGTCCTTGAGGTTGAAGATCATGCTGCTCATGTCACCGGTCACCCTCCTTGTCACACACGTCCTTAAACAGAAAAGCCACACGGAGTTTCATTCGCTTTCACCGGAACAGCACGGTGCCCCCCTCCAGGGGTGTTGGTCGCTGTCCTGGCGCCAGGCCACGTGCCTCCGCCATCTCAGTGCTGGAGCTGCTGTCCCCAACGTGGCCCAGAGCCAGGCGAGAGGCAGTGGGGGCCTCAGCTTCTGGCTTCCCAGCGCCTTCCTCCGGGTGGGGGTAAAACTGCTGGCACTTTGGCAGCTGCCAAACTGAGAGCTGAGATGCCTCCCTCCCAGTGCACTGCACCTGACATTTGCTGATGCCTTTAGGAAGCGACTGCCTTTTCAACCGGCGGGTAGGGTTCAGGATTGGCCGGCGGGACTGTGGGAGGGAGGCCTGGGGGGAGGTGGACGGCTCTGATTTCTCCCCCAGGGAAGGGAGGGGTTTGCAGCACTGTGGTCTTGAGGGGCAGAGAGGTGCAGTCGGCCAGTTAAACGTGAGAGAGAGTAGCTAGGTCGACACAGAGAGGGGGAATTTCATGAGAACCCTCCCTGGAGGGAAGGCTTAAAGTGAACAGGTGCTGGGAAGTGTTTCTGCGTATCGGAGTTTAATTAGCTCTGAAGATGAATTCCAGATGGGCAAATCGTGTGGGTTGTTGCAGGTTATCTCTTGTAGGGGTGGACGTGTATTTTTGGAAATGGTGATTCGGTTTGATTGGGTTTGATTCCTGCCTCCTGCAGTGTCTCCTCCATGGGGACACTGCCACTCCCAGGGCCCAGCACCCGCTTGGCAGGCTCCTGCCTCCGGCTGCTCCTGCAAAGCCAGGGAGCCGCGGAAAGCTGGGCCTGGCCACACTGCTGCCAGGCAGGGGCAGGAGTCCGCCCCAGAACAGTGCCGCCCCGGCAGCTTCCCAGGAAGCAGACTGCCTGCCAGTGTGGTTTCCAGGACGGTGTCCTTGGAGGGGCAGGCACTCCCGTGGGGACTGCTGGTGAGGTGACTGGCCAGCTTCTGGGAGGTAGGCAGACGCGTCCTCGTCGGCAGTTCTGTGGGGTGAACAGGGAGGGTAGGGAAAGTGTGGACAGACTGAGATGTGCTGCAGCCGGAAGTGTCCGTCTCCACCCCAGAGGGGCCAGGCCTGGCAGGGCAGGGCTTGGTCTGGCCTAGGGGAGCTCTGCACCCAGAGGCGCGGCTGCGTGGGGGTGCGGTGCGTCCCCCTGCTTGGCACCCGTTCGGGGAGAGCTTTGATGAACAGAGGCCTTTATGGGAGACCCCGTGATTGGAAATTATGGATGGACGATTTATGTATGGCTCTGTGAGTGATTTATGTGCTGTTAAGTGATGATTTAGATAGAAAATATGACCCCCTCCTGCAGAATCTTTAATGAAAAGCATTGGTTCTTATGACTTTTTCTAGAGCTCTATGTGAATGCGGCATGTTTGACGTAAATCAGATCTAATTGTCATTTTATGATTAATGAACATATGCTGGCCGTTTTTCCCCATAATTAAACTTTATGTTCCGTGCGTCTGACAAAGCAAAACAAGTTCGGGCCTTGATGGATCGGTGGTGGGCGCCGTGTCTGTCAGTGTGTGTGTGCTCGTGCGTGTGTGTGTGTGTGTGTGTGTGCGCGCGCGCGCGCACGTGTGCTGGTTTCGGTGGCGTGCGAGCACCAAGTTTCCGTAAGTCAGGTTTTCAGAGGTGTCAGGTCGTTAAGAACTAGCCTTCAGACCTGAGCCCGAGAGCTTGTGGAGGTGGGGTGGCCCCGGGGAGGCTTCCTGCCAGTCCCGCGGGGGCGCACGTCACAAAGAAACGACAGGGACGTCACAAAAAAAGGCGAGTTTCCCCTCCTCTTCACGCACCTCCGGTGGGTGACGTGCGAGGGGAGGTGAGCACGGGGAGGACGCCGTCCCTGGTCAGCAGCCCCCGCCACGTCGCTCACCCCCGTTTCCCGTTTCAGGACATAGACAAGTTCGGCAACGAGATCACCCAGCTGGCCCGCCCGCTGCCCGTGGAGTATCTGATCATAGATGTGAGTGTGCGCCGGCCCCACGGGGCTCCCCGCGGGGGCGGGTGGTGGCTGCCCAGCCCCTGCCTGTGCAGGACAGGCACCCAGGGGGTTGGGGTTGTCACACTCCTGGCGTCCCTGAACAGCTCCCAGTTTTAAGGGGTTTTTTCCCCCTTAAAAACAACGTAGGGTTAACTTCTCTCAAACTCAAGTACAACAAAGGGCCATCTACCAGTTCATGAGTGGCGTGTGCCAGCACTGCCCTGGTCACAGCTGCTGCCCCTGCCGGGCTCCTGGTGCGCCCTCAGCCTGCATTGGTCCCTGAGGGCTGCGGCCGTTGCTCTGCCCTTGAGTGAGTGGCACATGGTTCCCTGGGGGACTCGAGGAGCCAAGCAGGCCCCTGGCTCCAGTGTGTCTTCCAGGGCCTCCCCTCCTGTCTGGAGGCCAGCTCTGGTCACAGAGATGTGGCCCCAGACTGGGCAGCGACTGCTGTAGGAGGAGAGCCGGCAGCTTGAGGCCGCTCAGTCTCAGCCCAGAGTGCACGGGAGTGGCACGTACCCCACGTGCCGTCTGCCGGGACGCGTCCAGGCTGCGCTGGCCGCGCGGTGGCTGGCGCTGCAGGGCTGTGCGGCAGGTCTGCATTCAGAGCAGTGGGTCCCCAGGAGCCAAGCCCGCCGGCGTGGCAGCTGGTCGACGGCTCCCGAGAACGTATTGATTGCCCGGGCCGCAGAGGCATCTGCTTTCTAGACGCCTGGGGTGTGATGAAGATGCGAGCGCACCGATAGGGCAGACACTTAGAGGCCTCGGCAGGAGCTGAAGCCGGCCTTCCAGGCCCCTCTCTCCCGAGGCCTCCCACCCTCTCCTTTTACAAAGGAGCTGAGTCCCCGCCTCGCTGCCTTGTTTTGGTTGCAGGGGGTTGACATGAGGACGTAGGTCCTGGGGGATCCCTGCTGTCTGTTCCACTGGAAGAAGCTTCGTGGTCCCTGAGAGCAGGCGGAGGGCTGTGCTCAGCTCTCTGCCCAGCCCCAGGTCCACAGGCTCACAGGCCCACAGCCGAGCCGGGGCTGTCCGCCGTCCTTCAGTCTTGTGGCCGGGCAGCTGTTTTTGGCAGGGGCAGGGATGAGGTGCGTCCTCCCCAGCTTCTGTGGAGGTTTCGTGGAGGTGCCCGGGTGTCAGATGGTCGACCCTGTGCTGGCGGGGAGAAGGCTTACGCACAGGACGAGGTACTTGGTGCCTGGTGCCCCTCCCCGCCATCCCAGACTGGGACTGAGCCCTCCGGGGCCGTCACGGGTCTGACAGGCCCTGCTCCGGACCCCACGTGAACTCTCTAGGGGGGAGGGTCTCGCTGAGCTGGGCCACACTTGCCTCCCTGTGGGTGGGACCGAGCCCTCCACAGGCTTTGTCCCGGCGGACGGTGTGGACAGCCCTGCCACTGTCTTACGCACCGAGACAGCAGCTGAGGCCAGTCCCCGTGTGTGCGGCCAGTCTGAGGGCTTCCGTGTCTTGAGTGTTTAGTCCTTCGTGCAGCCTCGGGGTGCAGGTGCCTGGGTGTCTTCACCTCGCAGGTGAGCAGGGAGGCCTGGGCGCTGTGGCATCATGATGGAGGCCACATGGCCGGGGCCGGCGCTGGGCCCGTGCCCTGTGCCACAAGGCCACATGGTGTGGTCAGTGGGGTGGGGTCACAGCTGGTCGCCGCCCTTGCTGGTGGGGAACTCAGCATGACAGCATCCCCATTTTTGAGATGCAGCCCCAGGGACCCAGGAGAGCTGCCCCAGTGTCCGCCGCTGCCCCTCATGCTGTGTGGCCGCCCAGAGGGACCATGTGTTCGTCTCGGTGCTCCTGATTGGGGGGGGGGCGGCGGCAGGTTTCTGCCAGGAGGAGGAGAAATCACGTCGCTTCCCACACACTGAGCACAGGCCATGCGGTCGCTGTGGGTCCCACATCAGGTTTCACGTGCCCCGTGTTGTTGCCACAGTCTGTTGCTCCAGACCCAGGCTCTTGACTCCAGGTGAGTTTTGGGGGACGCGGGGACCTGCGCCCGCATCTCAGAGGCCTTGCTTCCCCTTCCACCCTGACTCCGTGGAGCGGGGCCTGGGAGCCCCAAGGGCGTTGGGAAGCTCCAGGAGGCCACTGTGCTCTCAGCCCCTCTGGCGGACCCGCCCGTGCTCTGTGGACCCAGAGATGGGAGCAGGCGTCCCCTGAGACGCCGCCTCATGCCTGCGGGCTGTGCCTGTGGCTCACCCTCAGGCTCGTCCGTGACCGGCCACATGGGCAGCTGGGGGGGGGGACGGGGCTCGTCCCCCTGAAGCTGCCCCCTGGGCCGACACAGCAGGGCTCCTTGAGCCGTCTGTTGCAGAGGCTGGCAGACAGCAGCTGCCCGTGTGTGGCGCGAGCTTGGAGACTGTGGAGTGGCTTTTCTGTCGGCTTCCCAGAGTCAGAGTCAGGATTTGTGTTTCCGGTGGTGGCAGCGATACCACTTGGCTGCCGTGACTCAGGCTGCGGGAGAGATTGGCCCCGCCCCTGCTCTGCGGCTGACGCGTCCGGTCCGTCCTTTGTTCCTCAGATCACTACCACCTTCCCCAAGGACCCCGTCCACACGTTTTCTACTTCGCAAAGCCCGTTCCCTATCGAGAACCGGGACGTGCTGGGTGAGACACAGGTAAGCGCTCTGCCCTCGGGCGTGTCGGCCTGGTGCCGGCACTGCTCCGTGTCCTGTTCTGTTCTGTGACAGTCCAGTGGGCCTGGCCTTTGACTCTGTTGGTCGCCGTGAGCCCCTGTTCCGGCTAGGTGACGGATCGCAACCAGGGCAAATCCCACCAGTCCTCCAGCTGTGGGTCTGCAAAGAGGACCATTCCTTTTTTTTTTTAGATTTTATTTACTTTTAGGTGGAGGGGAAGGGAGGAAGAAAGAGGGAGGGAAACATCAGTGCGTGGTTGCCTCTTGCACGCCCCCTACTGGGGACCCAGCCTGCAACCCAGGCGTGTGCCCTGACTGGGAATGGAACCAGTGACCCTTTGGCTCGCAGACCAGTGCTCAGTCCACTGAGCCACACCAGCCAGGGCAAGAGGACCATTTTTAGTTGGCTTTTTTCCCAAAAAAATTTCTGTCACTCCGCGTCTTCTTACGTTTCCTTGCTCGTTTGTGGATGGTGTCGTCTCCCTGTGGCGATGTCTCGCTCTGTTGTTAGGGGTGGCCCCGCTTGTCACCCACTGCGCTTCTCAGGTGCCACCAGAGCGAGCATGCGCCTGCATGCTCAGTGGCGGCCCAGGCCCGGCCAGAGCCTCGGGGACGGCCTGTGGGGGCCGCGTGGGCCCCACAGACACGGGCTCAGCAGAGAGAGTCCACAGGGAGGTTTTCTCCCGACGCCGTGGCTGTGCCCCAAAGCCCCCGACACTTTGGTGTCTGCACCGCCCGTCTACCCAGGGACTCGGGGGCTCGCAGAGGTCCAGAGCTCCCTACTGGGGTGGCTCACGGAGTCTCCTGTGTTCGGTCTTGCCGAAGGCGACGTCCGTGTCACACAATGCACACACACACACTCCCTGCTTCTTGGAGTCCACAGCACGGTGGGGGAGACAGCACGCGGGTCCCCCGGCCCCGCCACTGAGCAGGACAGTGTGTCCGTGTGTGCGAGTGTCTCCCAGCCGGGGCCTCTGATGCACCGGGGCCGCTGCTCCGTCCCAGGTCCCAGTCAGCGGCGTGGCAATGGGGGAGCTGAGTGCCTGTGCCCTGAGCCTGTGCAGCTGGGTCTGAGGAGGGAGGGCTGCCCTCTGGGGGCCGCCTCAGCACCCGCGTCTGCTTCGCCCGCCCGTCCCCTCAGGACTTCCACAGCCTGGCCACCTACTTGTCGCAGAACACCTCCTCCCTGTTCTTGGACACCATCTCGGATTTCCACCTCCTGCTCTTCCTGGTCACCAATGAAGTCATGCCTCTGCAGGTATGAGCCCAGCGCGCGTGCCCGCGGGCACCGGGCAGCAGCGGTCCCTGGGGTGCTGGCTGCACAGGGCCTTCCTTTGCTCCTGAGCCAGAGAAGCGGTCGCAGACCCCCACGTCCTGTGGCAGTGACTCTGCACAAGGGGCTTGCTGGTCGAAACAGGCGTTTCTGCATTGACTGCTTGCATCAAGACAGCGTCTGAGTGTCGGCCCCCTGGCTCTGACCCCGGGGGGTGCAGCCGTGGTCAGCTCTGCCTCCCCCAGCGTGGAGCTATAGAGATGCCACGGAAAACTCCTGCCCTGGCCACTCAGAGCCACAGCCCCTGCTGCTACCCCGTCTCCCTCCTCTCAAATCCCATTCCTGCGCCCAGGCGGCCAGCCGGCACCCATGCCCTGAGTGCACAGGGGTGAGGCTGGCTTCGGTCAGACACTGTAGGAGGGGAGGGCGCGTGTGCAGGGCGCAGCTGCTGTCTGCGCCCTGCAGGCCGGGGGCCGCTGCCAGTCTGGTGGGGCAGGTGGAGTCAGGCTGGGCCCCCATCAGAGCTCCTCACGGGGCAGCGGGCACAGTTTGTGATCACTGTCCAGCATCGCTCTCTGTAGTCACTGTCCCAGCCCCTCACATGCCTCTTGTGTGCACACGGTCCCAGTTCTCTGCCTTGTGACCCCGGAGGCCTGGGCTGCAGAGTGCGTGTTTGCAGGTGTGATTGAGCAGGCACAGGAGCTGAGGGAGTGTGAGCGGAGATGGGCTCGGGACCGCGCCTCCTGTCCATCCTCCCGGAGGCCGGGACCCTGTGATCTCGCAGTGATAGCTGGCATGGCAGTGGTGTGGACTCCTTGGGAGGAGTTCAAAGTCTAGCTCAGTCTAGCATGTGTCTGTGTGGACGGAAGTATGTGCTTTTATCACGTCAGTGACAGCCTGTGAGGCTGTCCGCGTCCGCTCTGAAGCACATCAAGGTGTTGGGGAGGAGACCTGCAAGCCGCAGCTGGAGCACGTGGGGACCCTCTGCTGGCTTCTTGCAGGATAGTATCAGCCTCCTGCTGGAGGCCGTGCGGACCCGGGACGAGGAGCTTGCGCAGACGTGGAAGAAGTCCGAGCAGTGGGCCACCATCGAGCAGCTCTGCAGTAAGTGGGCCCCAGCCCCGCCCCGTCTCCTGGCACCAGCACTTTTACAGTCGCAAGGCAGCCACGTAGGGGCCAGAGGGCGGGACGTCTCCTCTGTGCAGAAACACTGAGGGTTGCTCTTTCCCACCCTGCAGGCACAGTCGGGGTGCAGCTCCCGGGCCTGCACGAGTACGGAGCCGTCGGGGGCTCCTCACATGCCACCACCGCCGCCGCCTGGGCCTGTGAGCACTGCACCTTCGTGAACCAGCCGGGCACCGGCCACTGCGAGATGTGCAGCCTCCCCAGGACCTAGTGCCGCCCCAGCCCCTTCTGACGCCAGGGTCGTGGAGTCCTGCCCCACGGTGGGCAGCCCTGGGGCGCAGGGCAGAGCAGAGGCAGCTGCCCTGGGGTCTCTGGCTCACAAAACCTCTCAGCACCAGGCTTCCCTGAAGGATGGAGCCGGGCTGGGGTTCTCCGGCCGACACCGGGCTCCTCACAGAGGAGCAGGCAGCTCGGCCCCCACGGGCGGCTCGGCGCGCCCGCCTGCAGAGGAGGGTGGGTGCTTGCTGCTGCCCCGGCCCCCTTCCTTTCTGGATGCCGTTTGTTCTTGCCCCTCCCCTGGTTGTGGTTGGGGCTCCTGCCGGCCTCTGTGCCCTGTTGCCTGGAGGCAGAGCCTGCCTGCAGGGGCCACCTTCTCCCCTTCAGTAGTCAGCATCCGGCAGCAACACGAGTGGCCACAGGCCCGCCGGCCTCTGTCTGCTTGGTCTGCAGTTCCCTTGCTGCCCGCCCTTGTCCTGCTCTCAGCCAGTGTCCAGGTGGGACCCTGGAGTCGGCTTCGATTGTAATAACAGTTATCAGTAATTCCCGCCCTGGAGACTTATTTATTTTTCTTGAGATAAAAACTGCTTAAAAGGGGAGTGAGAGAGACTAGTTGCCACTTCTTCCCTCTAGTGAGCCCCTGTGGGCGTGTGCGGGGTGGGGAGTGTGGGTGGGGGCCCACAGTCAGATCTCCTTGGAGTAAACCTCAGTGCCTGAGACTTTTCTGCCCGACCGCGTGGCCGCGGGAGCCGCAGAAACGAGCCCCTGCCCCGGGGCGTGGCGGCCCCCGCTGGGCGGAGGCTGCTGACCCGGGTGCGTGGGGCGAGCCGGGCTGTCCAGGAAGCCCTGGGCCCTTTGCCCACACACGGTCCTGCCTGCCCCGGCCTTGCACAGTGGCATGGCCACTGAGGGGCCTGTGGTGAGGTCACAGGGGCGGCCGGAAGGTGGCTACTGGGCTGATGGTGAGGCCCGGGCCGTCCCAGGACAGAGGTCGTGTGCCGTGGGGTCCCCGCATGTCCTCTGTGGCTGGGCCCTGCCCCGGGAACCTGTGGGCACGCTGATGCCTCTTTGCCTTAACAAGAGCCAGGTCTCGGAGCTGCTCTGCAGGAGAGGCCGGCCCAGACACAGGCTGCTTGGGGACCTCACGTCTGCCTTGGGGCAGGGGCAGCCCTGGGGGCCCCCTTTTCCTCAGGCCGTGCACGAGAGCGCGTGGGTGTGGGCTTTGGTGGCGACAGGAGCCAGTCGGAGCGGGTCTGGCTGGGGTGGCTTGTCCAAGCACAGCCACCGTGGAGGACGCGTGCGCTCCCGGAAAGAGTAGGAGGGCAGAGCCCCGGCCTCTGTGGCCCGGCCCCCAGCCCAGACGAGGGGCGGCCCTGCGCTCCAACTCGCTTCTGCGACCTCGTGCCCCAGGGACTCCCCAGGGAGCAGCGTCCCGCCCACTGGGCCCGGCCCCAGCCCCACACCCACACAACTGGTTGTCTCCGTCTGTCTTTCAGCTAAAGAAAAAGCGTTGTGACTTCTCCACTCTGGTTTTGAGTCGCTCTTTGTTCCAGGGTCCAAAGACAGCCCGGGCTCGGCGGGTGGGGGTGGAGGGGAGGTGGGGGGGTGGAGGGGATCCTGTGGGGACCACCTGCCAGCGGGCTTGGCCCAGGCAGCTCAGCCACCTTCTTTTGAACAGGGAAGGGGCCCCTCAGCCCTGCTGTTTCACTCTCGTTTGAATACACCCTCTCCTGCCGCCAGGCCCCGCATCCCAGAAAGGGGTGCCTGAGTGTGCATCTGTGCAGGGGAACACTGCCAGCCGCCTCTGACCAGCCTGCTCCTGCCCGGTGCTCCCAGTCCTTTCGCCCTGGCCTGCGCTGGGGTGGGCTGGGCGGCTCAGCGCTGCCCGGTCTGACAAAAGCACCTGAGGCCGATCTTCCCTGTTGTTCTTGCCCGGGGTCCCTCCCTGCACACTGAGCCCCGGGGTCAGCTCATGTGGCCTTGGGTCAGGTCTGGACCACTGTGGGGAAGGGACCCTGCTGCCCCCGCCTGGGCTCCTGGGCCCCAGGCTTCCAGCAGGGGATCTGGGAGGAAGAGGGGCTCCTGGCCTCCCTCCGGTGCCTGTCCTGCCTGCCACCCACCCCCATGGCTGCTCTGGGGCCTCTGTGCTGGGGACAGGCGTGTGTGGCCAAGTAGCAGGTGAAGGATGAAGTATGGAGCTCTGCAGAGGTGCAGGGTGACAGGCCATGGGGGACAGTGCTGGGTGAGTGGCCCTGTCACTGGTTCTGGTGCCACCCCTTGCACGCCCCACTGAGCATCACTCCCCCAGGAGACTGCTTTCTGGCAGGTGTGGAAACCCTCTGCTGGGGCCTGAGGGCCCTGTGCCTGCACCCAGGACTCGCAGTGGACAGCTCCCAAGGTCAGGTGTGGTGGCAGTGCTGGAACATCTCAGGCCCTTGACATGAGTTCTTGACGTGAGGAGGTTCTCAGACTTCCCCCCCAGACATCTGCTCAGAAGCAGGACTCGGGTCCCGCCCTGCTTTCCTTGCCCATGTGCCCTGTGGGCCGCACCCAGCACAGCCTGAAGCTTCCCTGCGTCCTCCCTGAGTGGGCTGTAATTCGTGCTCGGGACGGTTATCCTGCCTGCGAAGCCAGCACAGGGACCACTGACTGCGGGCCAGGAGTGAGTGAGTGCCCTGCACACCCACGTGTAGGCCCCTCGGGTGTCTGAGCCCGGCCATAGCCCTTTGCTCATGTCTCGCTTCCAGAATCGGCACTCAAGGCCCCTTGACGTCGGCGTGGCCTGGTGATGCCCCTGAATCTTCGTGTCACCGGTGTGGGCTTAGGGCCAGGGGGGAGCGGGGTGGAGAGCCACCTGCCCAACAGTGTCTGGAGGGACATTCCCCTACCCACCCACCCCCGTAGCCCCCCCCCATTGTGGGAGGTCTGTGGTGCACAGGCTTGGTGAGCAGAGCAGTTCAGCACCCCTGTGCCCGCGTGGAGCAGGGGAGAGCGGGGCATCACTGGAAAGCATGTGGCCCTCCCTGTCCCCACATCCCGGCTGCGTTTCACATCCACAGACCAGGAAGCAGAAGGGGCAGACACTGCAAATGCCGCACCTGTGTCCATCCCAGCCCCCAGGGGCAGTAGGGCCACCTCTGTCAGGCGTCCCTGGGTGTAGCACCCACAAGCCTTGACAAGGCGTGAGAATTTGGCTGCTGGTTCTTTGTGTTTGGCAGGCACAGCAGCCTCCTGGATGCCAGCTTAGCTTCCAAGCCCAGAAAGAACTTGGCAGCCGGGCCCCTTTACTATGCCATGCCTGGCCATGTCCCCATGTGCCTCTCCTGGGTGGCCTTGGAGACTGTCCTGTTGGCTCCTTAAAGGAGAGGGGTGTGGCTGGCATCTGCAGGTTCCTTGCAGGGGTGCCCTGGGTCTCTGAGTTTCTCCTCGGAAGAAAGCTCTGGGCAGCACCTCTCCAAAGCCCCGGAAGACAGGAGAGGAAGCAGTCCGGTGGGGGAAGAGATGACTTGCCCAACATCACTCTCTGCCCCTGGCTGATGGCTGGCGATTGCCCCTAAGCTGTTGTCCCCTCAAACCCACACACCACGCACAGCTCCCGTCCAGGAACGGAAAAAGGAGGCACTTCCGTCCACGTTGGGCCCAGAGCCACTGGCCGTGGAGGTGGCAAGAGCTGACACTGGCCGCCACTCCAGGACCCCGCAGCATCCAGGGGCTCCTCAAACCCTACAGAAAAGCTTTAGGAGCGCCCCAACTGCGCCACTGGGGGACCCCGCGTGCCTGCCCGGCTCGGAGGAGCACGAAGAGAGCGGGACTTGGTGCCAGACCAAGGGGGCCCGGCCCTGAAGGAGCGTGGGAGGTGCTGCGGGCAGGCCGGGCACCCCCGAGCAGGCGCCTCGGGCCGCGTGGAGAACGGGCGGGGTAGGCGAGGGCAGGTCGTCGGGTTTCCCGCGTTGCCTAAACTGCTGTGTCCCCCAACCCGCGTGCCAAGGTTCCAGTCCGGACCTCAGGACTCAGCAGGCGGCCACAGCACGCGGCCCCGCCTCCCGCCACAGCCCCGCCCCCCGCGCCGCTTTACGGCCCAGGCCGCGACGTGACGTGAGCGGCCGTACCGCGCCTCCGCCCACCCCCGCACCAGCGCCTGGAGGCGGAGTGCCGTCTCCCGGGCCGGCCCAGACCATGGCGGGTCTCGCGCCGCGCGTGGACTACTTGGCGGGCTTCGGCTTCCCGGTTGGGGGCCTGGCAGCGGGCAAGCCTCGTGTGCTGCGTCTCGGGGCGGAGATCCTCCTGTCCACCGGGAGGGAGCTGGTCTACGTCTACGACTCGGAAGGGAGGCAACTGACCGTGAGCGTGGGGGCGGCGTCCGGGCCCCGAGGGGTTCGCGGGAGAGGAGAGGGGCCGGCGCGTTTGAGGAGTTCGTTCGGAACTAAAGCCTCCCGCACCCTCTGCCCCCCACACCCAGGCGGTGTACAGGTTTCCCGGGCAGGTGTGCCACCTGGAGGTCCTGGCCCTTCGCAGGGTGCTCTTCGTTCTGTGCGCGTGGAGAGGCGTCTATTGCTTGTCTTTGGACCAGGCGAGCAGGTGAGGAGGGGTCGTAGGTGGCCGTGCTCCAAAACACCAGCCTGTGGCCTGTGCGACCTGCCTGCCTGTGCACTGGGGCAGGACAAGCCCTCACCAGCCCTTTCCGTGGAGACGCAAGGGGATGGTGGGTTCAGACCCAGCTTGGAAATCATACACGTGCCCACCACCAGCCAGAGTGAACCGGGTGCAGGTGGGTGAGTCTGCTGCCAGGAGCAGGACTTACCCCCTTGGCCTTGGTGGTCCTGTCTCCTCTGGCCTGACACACCTCGCCCCAGTGGGTCTCTGTGGTCCCTGAGCCATGCTTAGGGCAGACTGATGTTGCCAGTTGGGCACAGGCACCAGCAAAGAGCCTGGACAGGCCCCGCTCACTCCGACTTAAGACACGAGAAGGTCCGGTGCCAGCTGTAACGGTGGCCTCGGGCTCCGACAGGCCTGCGCTGGTGAAGCTGTCCCACCCCAGCACCGATTTTTGGAAGCCTTGCTGCGTGTGTGTTCCTAGGCCAGCAGAGCAGTCCCTGGGGCAGGGGGGAGGTGCCTGGGGCCAGCTGCTCCCTGCCGAGCCCTCCCCACACTGCTGAAGGGCGGTGATGGTTGAGGAGACTGCTCCCTGTGAATGGTCCAGAGCCGGGCTGGGAGCAGGTTGTCCAGGACACGGCGTGCGAATATTGAGAGTGACACTCTGTCTTCTCCGAGGTCTGTGAGCCAGAGTGACGGGGATGAGGAGGAGAGGGGCCTCCCGTCCCCTGCTGTCCCCGTGGACCCAGACGCCTGTGTCCTCCCTGATGCCACGCTGTGTGCTTTCACTGTGATGGACGGTGTGCTCATCACACTGGCCCAGGGCACTGCCCAGTGGAAGCTGCAGGTGTTCCAGTGTCCTTGTCCTGGGCAGGCCAGGCCCCTGGACCAGATTGGCGCGGTGCAGCTGTCTGCCTGCACCCCCCCAGCCGGCAGCCCAGGGAGGCCGGAGGCCCCCTCCCCCCGCTTCCTCCCGGTGCTGTGCTGCGTGTCACCGCCAGGCTGCGGGGCCCCCCACAGCCTTCAGCAGGGTCCCCCGGGCTCCACGCTGGAGGGGGCCCTGTTTGGGCTCCTCTTTGGCACCGACGCCACCCTCCTGGAGTCGCCCGTGATCCTCTGTGGCCTCCCAGATGGCCAGCTCTGCAGTGTGGTCCTGAAGACCCTGGTCACCTCCAGATCGGCCCCTGGGGACCCGAAGGCCCTCGTCAGGATTCTCCATCACCTGGAGGAGCCTGTCATCTTCATCGGGGCCCTGAGGACAGAGCCGCTGCCTGAGGACATGGAGGACACCTGCTGCGACTGCCTGGTGGCGCTCGGTCACCGAGGCCGGACACTGGCCATCAAGGCCAGCTGGGATGAGGCCGGGAGTCTGGTGCCGGAGATGCGGGAGTACCGCCTGCCGGGGCCCCTGCTCTGCGCCGCCTGTGGTGAGGGCGGCCGCGTGTACCACAGCACGCCCTCCAGCCTCTGCCTGGTCGACCTGGCTCGGGGAGGCACCCCCTGGCTCGGGGAGGGGGCGGACGTGCCACCCAACGGCCCAGGGGGCCTGCCCTCTCTGCTGTGTCCAGCCAGCTTGAGTGTCTGCAGTGTTGTCACCCTCTCTGTGTCACCGAGGTTGCCTGAAGGTAAGAGCCACTGTGTAAGCCCAAAAACCAAAGACATGGGCGTGGGTGGGACTCCCCTTGGCTGTCCTCTGTGAGCTGGCCTGTCCTCTCCCTACCTTGCCCCCGGTCGCTGGAAACCAGACAGGGCAGCGTTATGCTCACCTGGCAGCGTCTCATGGCTGACGGGCTGTGACTCAGGGTCCAGGAGGGCCTGACCGTGTTTGGGCCCTGCCTGGGTGGGCTCTGCCCCGGGTGAGCTGGGGCAGGAGCCTCTTTCCAGGACAGGTCTTACGTCACAAGGGGTCTGGGGGAGGCTTGAGTGGGTTCCAGTTGAGTCGTGACATTTCTGTTAAAGGCCAGGAAGCACCTCCTTTGCTCACTGTGGGACCCGCCAGCAAGCCCACCCTGGGCTGGGGGAGAGGGCTTCCCAGAGCTCTGGCTGTGTGTGCTGTCGAGGGCAAGTCCAGGGCCCGTTCCTGTTAGACGGCCCAGGAGTCAGCCCGAGGCACGCGGCGCAGCGTGCTAGCAAAGCGGAAGAAATGCTTTGAAGGGGAAAGGTCACTGTTTAACGCAGGGAGAGGGCCACGTGGCTTGGGGGCACCAGGGTGAGGTCTGTCTGCCCCTCACGGGCAGGACTCAGGGCCTCAGCAGTCCTGGCCTTGGGGGAGGCAGATCTCCCCATTTCCTGGAGCATTCCCTGGCCGCCCAAAGCCAGAGCGGGCAGGGCAACGCCAGAGGGACCTCCGGCTTCCAGAGCGCCGCCGGCCGAGCAGAGAGAGCGAGGGGCTGTGGCGCTGACTTCTCTCCTGCAGCCTCGGAGCAGCTGCGTCCGGGCCACCTGCCGAAGGCCTGGCTGTGTGCGGCTGAGACGGGGACCCACGTGGGTCCTCGTCGGGCCAGTTTTGGCCCCGTCTGTGTACAGTGCGTCACCTTGGTGCCACCTGCACTGTGCCGACGTCCTCTCCCGGGCAGGGCCCTGTGGAATGAGTGCGTGGCAGACGTGGGTGGCCCCGTCGTCCCGGGTCCTCGCCTGGGAGCGGTCCAGCCGCTCGGTCCCCAGCCCCTCTCTGTCTTCAGGGGGCGCCGAGCTCCTGGCCCTGTCTGCCCGAGGCCGCCTGCTGACCTGCCGCTTGGAGCAGAGCCCTGAGGCACCGTGGCCCACCAGAGGGACCTCGGCGGCCACTGGCCGGAGGATGAAGGATTTGCTCTGTGGCATCGGCACTGTCTCGGAGAGGTGAGCGGCAGCGTCCTGGGTGTGGACACCCGTCTAGGCCAGACCTATCGCTTCACCTCTGGTCCCTGGCGAGAGCCCCAGACGCCAAATGGCCGGGGAAAGACTGGCTCCCTGGGGAGACAAAAGGGGCCTACACTGCGCTCCCTGACGACCCCAGTCTGCCTGGCGCAGACCGTGGAGACCCTCCCCACGGGGCGGCCCCCCCACGCTCTGCAACGCTGCCGGCAGCCCCGCCTCGTCTGCGCCCTTGCCACCCTCCTGGGGACGAGCGAGTGTCCTGTGGCCCCAGCCCTGGCCAGTGAGGGTCCTGTCCACGGTGCTGGATACTCTCGGGCTGTCAGGGAGGCCTGCCCCAGCATGGGCACCATCTAGCTCCTGTGTCCCTGGTGAGAGTGGCAGGCTCCCTGGCCCAGATGGCTGCTGGTGGCACTTGGGGACCGGGAGAGCTGCTCCTCGGGGCAGGCGCACCTTGCTCGGTGCTGCTGGGGCCACGTTCCGGTTTCTTTTATCCCCGGAAGCCGGGGACGCACCCTCCACCTTGGCTCTCTGCTCCTCCCTGGGGCCCGTTTGCTCTTCCCAGAGTGTCTTCCCTGAAGAGGGCCGTGGACCAGCGGAACAGGGCCCTGACGTGTCTCAACGAAGCCATGAACGTGAGCTGTGCTCTGCTGTCCTGCCGGGAGGGCCCCCGGCCCATCTCGTGCACGACCACCACCGCCTGGAGCCGCCGGGAGCTGCGGGACGTTCTGACCGCCACCTGCCTGCTGGAGAACAGCAGCGGCCCCCACCTGGGCCGGGGCTGGGCGCTGTGCGTCCAGGTGCTCCCCGGCGCCCCAGCCTCAGACCCGGAGGCGGCTGGCTCGGCCGTGACCTACACCATCCCTGTGGACCAGCTCGGCCCCGGTGGCCGGCGTGAGGTGACGCTGGCCCTGGGCCCGGGCAAGGATGGCATGCTGGACCTGCCGGTGACCGTGTGCTGTGCGCTCTTCTACAGCCTCAGGGAGGTGCTGGGCGGGGCCCTGGCCCCCTCGGGCTCTTCCGAGGACGCCTCCTGGGACGGGCAGGAGGGCATCTGCCTGCCCCTGAGTGAGCACACAGTGGACCTGCTACAGGGCCTGCGCTTCCCTGGCCTGGCCACGTCCCTTGCGCAGGCCCTGGGGCCATCGGGTCCCACCCTGGACCCCGTGGACACCTTCCTGGAGGCCTGCCACAGGCCCGGCAGCCACCCGGCACAGCCCGAGTCCCTGAGGGCCAAGTACCTGCCCCCTTCTGTGGCTGCCATCACGGTGTCGGCAGAGCTGCTCAGAGCTGCCTGCGGGGACAGGTCCTCAGGTTCGTGGGGCTGCCTGGCTTCCTCTGGCCTCCGGGCCCTGCGGCCTGCGAACTTGGGGGTCCCCCTCGCTGTCCCGGGGCGCACCTGAGCTCGCGGCCTGCACCTCTGCCCTCTAGGCATGTCCCTGTCCTGTGCTGTCCTGCAGTGGCTGCTCGCTGAGAACGCCGTCGTGGACGTCGTGAGGGCCCGAGGGCTGTCCTCTGTCCAGGGTGTGGCCCCGGACGGCACTGACATTCGTCTCACTGTGCGTGAGGCAAGTGGGGGGTCGGCCTTGGTGGCTGCTGTCCTCAGAGTCAGGTCTCCGAGCGCCTTCGCCCAGTTTGAGAGGAACTCACTTCCTGTGCCCACGCAGTTGGCTGTGCCCAGGCGGCATGGGCGGGGCTGCAGCCCACCCAGCGCTCCGAGTGTGAGACTCCACTTCCCCAAGCTGCTGGCGGGTCTGGCCCATTCCCCCAGGTGACAGGAATCGCACCCGCCTGGCCACTCGGCCCCGTGCCCGTCTCGGAAGTCATTTCCTGTCACGCATGCACCTGCCTCCCCAAACTGGCCACCAGCCCAGACCACGTCCTGCCTCAGGTCCCCGTGGCAAAGGCTCTCAGAGTAGCCCGGGCAGGCGGGACACGCATCCTGGAGGGGGGTGGTCATCTTGACCTTGGGGAGCCGGCTGCTACCCACAGCGTAGCTCTTTGTGGTCAGGCCAAGACCAGGCAGGTGCCCGGATTCTGGGGGCGGGGGGAGGTGCAGGGCCCTCGGCCCTATGGGTGCCCACATATTTCATGGAAACCAAAGAAAGGGCTGCTAGTGACAGCGACCCTCCTAGAGTCCCCAGGTCGTGGGCCTTGTGTGGTATCCTGCGCGTCTTCAGTGTCATCAAAACCCCCGGGAGGGCCCTGGGCTGACCTGGACCACCCGGCCTGCTCCCTGTGTTCACACTGAACCCTGCTGTCAGGGAGCCCGGGTGTGTGGGGGTCGTGAGTGGAGTCTGGGCAAGTCACAGCCGTCCCCTCGGTCCAGGAGGAGTGCCGTGGGGTGCAGGGCCCTCCCTGGGCAGGGGCCGGCTGGTTCTCCAGGGGGCCTTGCCGTTGGGCAGGGACACCCAGCCCAAGTGTGCCCTTTGGCACCAATCCTCGCCCAGGCCAGGGTGCCGTGGGTGGACTCGGGCTGCTCCTGTGCCACAGGTGGCGGTGACCGGCATGTGCCCGGCGGGGCCCCTCCAGGCTGCGGAGATCCAGGTGGAGAGCCGCTGTCTGGCCAGCGTGTGCGGGGCTCATGGCGCCATCGTCAGAAGGATGCAGGTGGGCCGCTGTGGCGGGTGGGCTCCCCTCGCCTCCGCCTCCAGGTGCACGCGTGTGCGGGCCAGCAGAGTCCTCTGCTCACCCTCCTGGCAGCCGCCCTCAAGGGCGCCCAGGATGCACTCAGCCAGCAGGCAAATGCAAGAGGTTTCTGCTTCACACCGGCCAGGGTCTGCTGGAGGTTCCTGCACTTGGCTGGCTGAGGAGAGGCTGCCCCTGGGGTCGGACACCCTGGGCTCGCCCGAGATGGGGCGGCGGCTCAGCCGAGCCTCCCGGTCTGCGCTGCGGGGCCGGGGCCAGCCATGGCACAGTCTCGGTGGCCCCAGCGCCGTGCGGGGCTGGATGTGTGCGGGTTCCAGAGAAAGTCTGTTGGTGGTGCCCTCGGCTCAGAGGCAGGCCGTGCCGCACCAACCCTTTGTGATTTTCCTTCAGCGGGGTCTGCACAAGGGCCTGACCAGGGACTTACTAGCACCTGCTGCTGGGCCACAGTCCTGCCCCCCCGGAGTCAAAACCCACAGTCTGAGCTCTGACAAGGGATTGAGGCCTGTCCTAGTGGTTGGCCAGCTGGTCACCTGTACAAGCCCAGGCCAGTGACTCTGATGACCACCTCCTGCACCTCCGTGACCATTCTGTGACGCTTCTGCTCTGTCCTGCCGTGACCCGGGTGGCCTTGCTGCCGTGACCGGCTGCCCCCGCGCCCGGCACGTGCCCAGGTTCAGGAGCTGGTCTGGATCTGCAGGCGGCAGGGCGGCCCTGGGGCAGCAGTGGGGGCAGGATGGGGAGCTGCTCTGGGTTTCGGGGCCCCTGCTGTTCTCCCTCAGGCCCGAGTCTCTGCCCTGGAGGGGACCTTGCCCTCTACGCCCGTCTGCAGCTGGGACCTGACCCCTGGGAGCCGGGTGCGGGTGGCTTCCTCTAGAGGGCCGTGCTGGAGCAGCGCCACAGTGGCTGGGGTGGCTGGCTGGGCCACAGTCAAGGCTGGAGCAGGCGGGGGCGCTCAAGGCCTGTCGGAGGCAGGTGGTGGGGCTGGCGTGTGTCTGCACTGCTTGGGGGGGAGGGAGGGGCTGCCCAGCTCGAGGCCGGAGGATCAGGGCCCAGAGTGACCGGGGCACTGCGGGTCTCGCCCCAGTAACCTGCCCTTGTCCCCCAGAGGATGGCGGTGGAGCAGGCCGCCCAGGGCTGCAGCCCACCTGACCTCCTTGCACAGCACCTGCACCAGAGCCAGGCCAGCCAGGAGGTGAGGCCCCTTGGGGGTCCTGTCCCCAACCCCTTGGCAGCCCTGAGGGTGGGGGCTGGCCTGGCCAGGCTCCTGTGTTGCTCTCAGAACTTGGGGAGGTTGTGCTCATTCCATCTGTGCCCCCCCATCCCCCCTCCATCTAGCTGTTGGCTGGGACCCTCCTGTCACCTGGGAGGTGTGGGCTCCCCTTCAACCAAGCCACACACTCTAGTTCTGAGGGGACTTAAGGGGCCAGGCAGGGGGGCCTGCTCCTCTAGGGGCAGATGAGCCTGTTTTCTGGCCCCCTGCCCTGTCTCAAGTAGGGTGGGTGTGGGACAGGTGTTCCTGAGGGACCTGGTGCCCACGGCAGGGGGGGGGGCTAGCTCTCACCCCACTGTCCCCGCAGGCGCTGCTGCGGGAGGTGCAGACCCTGCGGGACCAGCGCTGCGTGGAGGGCGAGGCCGGCTCCCGAGCTGCCACCGAGAGGCTCCTGCAGGTGTACCGGCAGCTGCGCAGCCCTGGCCTCCTGCTGCTGTGACTGCCAGCAGGAGCTCCTGCCCCTTCCGACCCCGAGTCAGGGCATCAGGTCCACCCTTCCTCCTCCCTCAGCTGCCCGCCGTCTCCAGCCTCATCCTCTTGCTGCTGGGCAGTGTCCCCTGCAGCGTAGGGGTTGGGTCAGCGATGTCTGCTCCACTCACAAGCTCAGAACCTTGGGCTGGATCCCAGAGCAGGAGCTGCGTGGCCCTGGGTGGCTCTTGGGGGCCAGGGAGAAACCGCCTGGGAGTGGGACCTGGGGCAGGCGTAGGTCTGCCTGCCACCCACCGCGGACACCTCAGCCCCGCCCCTGCACTGCGGGGTGCTGCCTGCGACGCAGCACAGTTAAGGCAGCAGGGCTTCAGGCGCCTGTGGCCAGGTCACCGCCTCCCCTCACCGAGCACCGCCAGGGTCCCGTGGAGGGGGAGCTGCCAGTGCTTCCCGTGTTTGCCTGGATGTCACGCGGTGCTATGTGGGGGGGCCGTGAAGGCCCCGCCGCCACCTAACTGACCTTTGTGAACTGACTCTGCCTCTGTTGGTTTTGTTGCCCGTGCCCGCCCCCACCCTGTGAGTGGTTGTCTGGACCCGGATTCCTGGATGCCCCTTGCCCTGCCCCAGGTGTGTCGTGTGCTAGGTTCTCCGTGGCCCTGGGGTGAAGCGCTGCCTGGGGAATAAAGGGAAAAGCTGGGTAAACCTGAGAGGGGGCAGGAAAGGTGGGATGCAACACTAGGTACCACCGTGGACCACCATGGACCACCAGGGGACAAGCTGCAGGGCAATGCCTGGCCAAGGTGTGAGAGCTGGGGGTGCACAGGCGCCGGGCGGGGCCTGGGGTGGCTCAGCGGGGGAGGGGGCAGCGGGCTGGCATGCACCTCAGCCACGGCACCACACTCTGCACCCAGTCCCAGCCTGCGCGCCCCATCCGGGGTGCCAGGGCAGCGTAGGGCCTGCCCTCTGCAGTGGTCGCAGTGGCCAAGGTCAGTGGGGAGGGAGCCCCCTCCCCCCCCATGCAGGTCAAAGAGCCCAGGAGCGTGGCTCTGGGATTCCTGCCTGGTGAGCTTGCCTTCCAGCCCGGACCCTCCTCTCCCCAGACGCCACCAGGGGGCAGCACAGGCTGCAGCTCAGCAGCTTCCTGTCTCCTGGACCCTCGTTTGTCCCTAGGGTGAGGGGACTAGGCCCAGAGGTTCCTTGGGGAGGGGCTGCAGGGAGGCTTAGGAAAGACCCAGCAGGGCCTGTGCCTCCAGGTCCCCTCCTCGCCCCTCAGCCTGGCCCGTGTGTGTCGGATCTTCACTGGTAGCGGCTGTGCCCCTCCCCCTGCTGCCCTTTCTCGGAGTGCTCCCTCCCTCCTGGGGCCACACTGGTGGGACTCGGTGGAGGAGCTTGGGCTGGTGGGGACAGGGGACAGGGGCCCGAGCCTGGGGGAGGGGCCTCTTCCCCAGGTGAGGTCTGTCCTTCCGCGGTCTCCCTGTCTCTGGGCTCCAGCCCCCATCGCCCTCGTTCTCATGGTCCTGACCAACCCCAGGGGGGACATCTCCCATCTTAGAAGTCCCAGGTCACCCTGCCCATCCAAGGGGCATCGGCCTGGGTGGGGGTTCTGGGTACTGGCCACTCTGGGTAGGCGCACGGGTGAACCAGGACCTGGTCCTGTCAGCCACCGTGGCCTGGGGGGGCAGCCAGCTGTAGGGTGAGGCCCTCTGTGCAGCTGGGGTGAGCTTGGCCCCGGGAGCTCCTTTCCTGGGGTCTGGGGCCAGTGGGGCAGCTGCCTGAGCTGAGAAGGGCCCTCTCCCCTGGCCCTCCATCCACAGGGTCGTGGGGAACTGTGGGGTAGTTTGTCCACCGAATGCTTCTGGGGTTCCCTGAGATCCTGCCCCGGCGCTGGGAGCAGCGCTGCTCTGTGGGGACACACTGAAGACCCTCCAACTGGTCCGCCTTGCAGGGCCTCCCGGGTGGGGGGGTGGGACAAGCGGAGGAGCACTCGCCCACCCATTCCTGTGGTTGTGCAGGACTGGGGGGGGGCGTGACCTGCTGGGCCTTCCTCCTGGACAGGCCCCCACGCTGCGTGTCCTGGACCGCGGCGGGCGAGGACGCGTTTCGGGGGTTCTGTGCCAAGTGACCAGGCGAGGCCCCCGCCCTGCAGCGCTGACACGCCGCGCCCGCCCAGAGCCGTCGCCAAGAGCCCGACAGCCACTGAGACGGACACGGTTTAATGGGTGACCAGGGTCGCGTGCTCAGTACTCCCAGAGCGCGACCCCGGCGGGCGCGTCCGCGTCCGCGCGCAGCAGCCCCGAGGCGCCGCCGCGCAGGTACTTGCCGTTCCTGGCGCGGATGGCCAGGCGGCCGCGCTCGCGGAACTCGAAGAGGAAGTCCTCGGCGCGCTCGCCGTCGCTGCACACGCTGCCGTGACTGCCGGTGTGCCAGAACCCGCAGCGCCCTGCGGAGCAAGAGCAAGTGGGTGTCGGCGGGGCGCTCCCCGCGCCGGCGGCCCCACCCGCGTGCAGCCCTGGCTCCCCGCCCCGCACCTCGGATCTGGTAGGCGCCATCGCTGAAGCTCAAGTGGAAGACGTCGTAGACTGAGCGGTTGGTGTCCAGCTGGTTGGAGCCACGGCGGTGGCACACGAAGCCGTCCAGGCCACGCAGCACCAGGATGGGCCGGTTGATAAGTTTGAGGATGAACTCCTCGTCCTCGCCTGCAGGGGGAGCCATCCCTGTCCTAGCGGGTCAGGCGGGGCTCCGCGGGGCTCCCCAGGAGAAGCTCCCAGCAGGCCCGGGCTCGTGGGCCCAAGTCTGCCATTGCCAGCGTCCTTCGCGACCTCGCAAGGGGCCTGCTGCCCCCTAGCCTGGGCGCCCCCCAGGTGTCATGGGGAGAAGGGCGCTCTGGGACCTAACTGCTCGGCTGGTGGCTGATGACGGTCTGGTCCAGCCTGTGCCTGGGACAACAGCCAGTCCCCGGGGAGGGGGCGGGGCCTCTGGGCAGGAGGGGAGTGCTCACCCACGAAGTCGCTGATGGCCGCCAGCTGCCCATTCTTCTTCATGCACACGTAGCGCCCATTACTGGCCTTGAGGGCCACCCGCCGGCCTCGCCACTCCATCTCAAACATGGTGCTGGCCGAGCTGAAGGGGCAGGGCAAGGTCCCTTCAGAGCAGCGGGGGGCTTCCCATCCCCCTCCAGTGCAACACTGCCTCCCAGGGGGCGGGGCCGCCACTTGCTTCCCACCGCTAGGCCCGCTAGGAGCTCTCCCCGCCCGGTGGTCATTCTTCCCAGAGGGGCTGCTGGAAGATCTTCAGAGGGGAGGGCGCCAGGTGTGGGGATGGCCCACTCACACTTGGGTGGCCGTGGCCTGGATACCCCCGTGGGTCACCAGGGCCCAGTAGCCCCCAGTGCTGGAGTAGAAGGTGCACTTCTTTGTCTCCCGGTCAATCTGCATCAGGAAGGTCTCGTGGTCCAGCCCTTCATCTTGGTTGGCTGAGACATTCACCCCTGGAGGGAGGAGAAGGGGAGCCCCTCACGCCTCTCCCTAGGTGGGTGGGGAGCAGACGTTGGGGAAGCAACTCTTGGGGCAACCCCAAAGCCAGAAGGGGCTCGTGTAGAACCTGAGAGGATTCAGAAGGTGCCCCTCAGAGGGTCTGGGCGCTCTGCACCCAGGGCCGTGCCGCTCCCCCAGGTCCGACCTCGGCCAGGAGCCGGCCCTTCCGTGCCGGCAAATCCCCGGCCTGCTAATCAGCAGGTAATCTGCCTGCTCCCACTCCTGGCCCAGCACTCACACCGGCCTCTATTTATATCTCGCCCTCCAGCGCACTGTGGGCACGGGGCCCCTGTCCTTCCGGGGGCTGTGGCTCAGGACACAGCCGAGGCCTGGGGCCCCCTCTCAGGTGCTGGGCAGGGGCTGGTCCCTTGTCACCTCCCCAGACTGTCACTTCTTGTCTGGGGCCTCCCTGGTGACCTCGGGAAGGCCAAGACTATTGAGGCTGTGCCTGGGGTGTTGGGTCAGGGACAGAGGAGTGTCCACGCTCAGATGGAGACAGCTGGCAGGCTCCAGGGCCTCCCTAGTATCTTCCCGTAAACTGAGTTTCTGTTTCCATGGCAACCAGCCAGTCTGAGTGGTGTGGCAGGTCACAGAAACCCCCCCCCCCCCCCGTCAGACCCTGGCATGTCCAGCTGGGGGCCTGGGGGTCAAGGCCAGATCTTGTCCCACCCTGGCCCCCAGCAGGCAGGCTGAGCACCAGGCAGGGCTGGGCTCCCCTTTCTCCCTCCACAGCCCCCAGGCTGGGCCTCCCCTCCCACTTGGGTCACTGCTCAGAGGCGAAGGTGGCCAGGCCAGCCTCCTCGGGGCCGTCCCCACTCTGGGCTCGTGTCGGGGGCAGCACAGAAAACAGTCCTTCCTCCCAGCACCGATGGTCCTCTGGGAGTGACGACAACAACTGGTGTGGCCCATGCCTGGGACCAATCGGAGCCAGGGCCGGGGCCGGCCTCCCGGGGAAGGTGACTCGGAAGCAGACCCGAGGGGCCGGGGACAGTCTTGCCGGCGCTAACAGGGCAAGGCTGGGCTGCACACCCCACAGGGCCCTGCAGACGGATGTGGCCTGGGGCTCCCGGTCACACAGCCACGTGGGTGACTGACCTCGAGGTGGGAGACCCCGCACGGCGCCCGGCGCCCGGGAGGAGGTGCTGGGCAGCATCAGCGGGCTCTGCAGGGTCACAGGAGAGGCGCCCTCACCCCACACAGACACGAGGGCCCCTCTTTCCTCCGGCTGTGTCCTGTCCGGACGTGAGCCTGGGACCAGGAGGACGCCTGCCAGTGGTCAGGGCTGCCCCCGGGGAGTGGGTCCTCGGAGGGAATGAGCAGAGGCCTTTGGTGCTGCCGCCGAGCCGGCGAGGTGTCCTGCCTGGGCCCGCCCTCCCCGGGCCTCCAGAGGCGCCTGTAGAGGACATGCTGGATGTCCCCGTGGGTTCGCCAGTTGGCGGCCGTCTTTCTGGCACTCTTGGCAAGACGCTGACAACCATGCCCCGAACTGAGGCATTGGTGAGGGGCAGGGGTGGCCAGGCGGCATCGCAGGGAGGAGAAAGCAGACGGTTGCGGGAGGGGTCGGGTTTAGGGGCCACCTGGCTAGAAAGAGGCCCGGGGCCCAGGCGCTGCCACTCTGCAGAACCCGCCGCTGCAGCTGCCGGGGATCGAGGGACGGCCCCCAGGACTGAGATGCCACATCCTTTTCCTGACACCCTGGGTGCCAAGTCACCCCGAACCTCTGGGGGCCAGGCCAGGGGCGGTCGGGCTCACTGCGAGGCAAGTGGGGAGGCAAGAGCAGGCCCCTCGGCGCCTGCGGCAGGCGGTGGCTCTGGGAGCGGGCCACCATTCCGGAGTGGCCCGGTGAGCAGGAAGGGGTTTTCCCAGTCCTGCCCCTCGCCACCACCATCACCAACACTGCCAGCGTCCCCTCCCCACTGTCACTGCCACTGCCAGAATCGCCGGGAGAACCTGCAGCGTCCTCCTGGTCACCACAGCCACCCTCACAGCCGCGGCACCAG